TAAATGTTACTATTTGAGTTGTCTTCAATTTGTGGTTATTATAAGCAGTGTGACAATAAACACTCTTGTAAGTAAATATTTGCTATAAATATATCTGGGTCAATGTCTACATACAATTCAAGGTTTTGATTATGTATTTCTGAATTGCACCTATAAAAGTTGCACCAGAAAATAATGAGGAAATTATACTTTCTTTTTTTTTTTTTTTTTTTTTTTTTTAAATATATTTTATTGATTTTGTACAGAGAGGAAGGGAGAGAGATACAGAGCTAGAAACATCGATGAGAGAGAGTCATCGATCAGCTGCCTCTTGCACACCCCCCACTGGGGATGTGCCCGCAACCAAGGTACATGCCCTTGACCAGAATCGAACTTGGGACCCTTCAGTCCCCAAGCCGACGCTCTATCCATTGAGCCAAACCGGTCCCGGCAGGAAATTATACTTTCTTGAACCTTCATCTACTTTGGGTATTACAATCAAGTTTTTGTTTTCCAATTTGATAAGTGAAAAGTGATGTTCCTGTTAGTTTCCTTTTTTGTAAATGTTGAACATTTTTTAAAAATATATATATTATTGATTTTTTTTTTTTACAGAGAGGAAGGGAGAGGGATAGAGAGTTAGAAACATCGATCAGCTGCCTCCTGCACACCTCCTACTGGGGATGTGCCCGCAACCAAGGTACATGCCCTTGACCAGAATCAAACCTGGGACCCTTCAGTCTGCAGGCCAATGCTCTATCCACTGAGTTTAGGCAATGTTGAATATTTTTATTGAACACATATTTTTTTCCTGTTGTTAATTTGGTATTACATATCATTGTCCCATTACTCCTCAAAACTCCCCCCACACTCATGCCCTCAGCCCCTGTTGTCTGTGCCATTGGTTAGGCTTATATGCACGCACACAAGTCCTTTGGTTGATCCCCACCATCCCCTATTCCCCTCTGAGGTTTGACGGTCTGATCGATGCTTCTCTGTCTCTGGATCTGTTTTTGTTCATCAGTTTATGGTGTTCATTATATTCCATAGATGAGTGAGATCATGTGATATTTATCTTTCTCTGACTGGCTTATATCACTTAGCATAGTGCTCTCCAGGTCCATCCATGCTGTTGCAAATGGTAGGAATTCCTTCTTTTTTACAGCACCATAGTATTGCGTTGTGTAAATGTGCCTCTTGCTCATTTTTTTATGTTTAGTTTTGTGTTTTTGTTTCTAATGTATGAGAGCTCTTTATTTAGTAAGAATATTAATGGCTTTGTTTTAAAACCTTAAATTTTTCTTATTTAAAATTATGGGTTTTTTTAAATTTTAAATCTAAATCCAAAATAATAAAAAACTCCTAAAATCTCACTCTGCAAGGAAAATCACTATTAACATGTTTTTTTCCTATGCAAGGTATAAAAATATACTTTTTAAAAACAGAAATAGAATCATCCTTTACATACTTTTTTTTTAGACTGATACTATTTTAAAAACCACATTTTTTTGCTTATCATAACATATTTCATATCATTACATATTTTATAACATCATCTATGTTTTATTTTTTTTTTAATTTAAAAGCAATATGTTGACTCTGGCCAGTGTGACTCAGTTGGAGCATTGTCCCATATACCAAAAGGTGGCCGGTTTGATTCCCAGTCAGGGAACATAGCAGGTTGCAGATTCAATGCCCAGGCAGGGCATATGTGGGAGGGAACCCATCAATGTTTCTCTCTCTCTCTCCCTCTCTTTAAAATCAATAATAAAAAAAGAATAAAAGAATAAAATAAAAGCGATATGTTGTCCTTATAAAACATTTAGATATCACAGAAAACATGTAGTTAAGTATGCGTCATTCTGTTCTCCACTGGTAACCACCATGAACAGTTCTGTATATAGTCTTCCATATCTTTTTCCTGAGGTTATTCTATCCGTACTCCTTCTGAAAAATGCAATCACATCATATACATTGATTTTATTTTTTCACTTAACAATCGATCTTCTATATATAATATACGTGAACCAACCTGGCTTACTATTATTTTTTCCAATCTGGCTTATTTTAATGGGGGTAGAATATAGAGGTCTCATAACCAACAAATTGATGGATCTTTAAATTGTTTCTAGTTTTTCTTTAATACACACCACTTCAATGAACATCTTTCAGTGCTTAAGCAAGTGTTGTAAAATGAATTCCTAGCAGTGCAGTTGTTGATACAAAGTGCACACAGAACGGACATTTAAATATTTAATAGAATTGTCCTCCGGAAAGGCTCTCTCGGGTTACAGCTTTCCCTTTGCTGTAGAGAGCGCCTTCCCTGCTTCTTCCTCTCGGTGGGTTCTGTGGTGGCGCTTCGCAGGCTTTCACCACAGAGAGGCCAGACAAATATTTCAGGTATTTTATTATAAGCCATATTTTTCAAATCTTTCAAATATTTCTTATTATGAAAGATAAATATTTTTAATGTTAAAAATAATATTTATGCCTTAACCGGTTTGGCTCAGTGGATAGAGCATCAGCCTGTGGACTGAAGGGTCCCAGGTTCGATTCCCATCAAGGCCTCCACATCCTGGTTTTGGGCTCGATTACCAGTTGGATGCATGCAGGAGACAGCTGATCGATGATTCTCTCTCATTATTGATGTTTCTATCTCTCTCTCCCTTTTCCTTCCTCTCTGAAATCAATAATATTATATATATATATATATATAATATATATCCCCCAAACTCTGGTGTCCATAGACTTAGAGGTTTATAATTCAGTTAAGTAAAGATGGGCTCTGTAGTAAAACAATTTGACAATTAAGTCATAGTCGCTTTATACTGCATGGCTGGAAAACAAGACTGAGAAAAAATTTTTAACTATATTTATATTGATTTCAGAGAGGAAAGGAGAGGGAGAGAGATAGAAAATCAATGATGAGAAAGAATCATTGATTGGCTGCCTCTTGCATGTCCCACACTGGGGATTGAGCCTGCAATCCAGGCATGTGTCCTGACTCGGAATCGAACCGTGACCTCCTGGTTCATAGGTTGACATCAACCAGAGTTATGCTGGCTGGGCATGACTGAGAAAATTGTCCTGTGATGGAGAACAAGCATAGTCCCATTTAATCTTACCAGAAAATTTCCCTTTAAAATTATTAGATATCAAATGTATTCTTTGTTTGTTTCCTTGGGTTGTGAATATTTTGTGAGGGTTTTTTTTGTTTGTTTTTGTTTTTGTTAATTCTCACCCAAAGATATTTTTTCATTGATGTTTAGAGAGTGGAAGGGAGAGGGAGAGATAAAGAGAAACATCAATGTGAGAGAGATACATCGATTACTTGCCTCCTGCATGTGCCCCGACTAGGGCCAGGGAACCTGCAACCAAGGTATACGTCTTGACCAGTGTAAATGCCGCAACCTTTTGCAGCAAGGATTCAGGATCTGGAGAAAGGACTGCATACAGGATACACTAGACAAGAAATATAAATTTAGAAGGCAGAGAGGCTCTCTGAAACCCCAGATTCAACATCTTTTATTTAGTTGGATACACATTTGCCTTTTAGGAATGCAAACAGGCATATCAATGGTAAAGTTAAAAAACAATAAAAGGCCGAAACCGGTTTGGCTCAGTGGTAGAGCGTCGGTCTGCGGACTGAAAGGTCCCAGGTTTGATTCCGGTCCAGGGAATGTACATTGGTTGCGGGCACATCCCCGGTAGGAGGTGTGCAAGAGGCAGCTGGTCGATGTTTCTCTCATCGACGTTTCTAGCTCTCTATCTCTCTACCTTCCTCTCTGTAAAATATCAATAAAATATATTTAAAAAAATAAAAATAAATAAAAATAAGCATTAAAAAAAACAAAAAACAATAAAAGGATTATCAGGTTAGAGGATCGCCTTATGCTAACTACTTGTTGGTCTTAGTCTCCGGCAGACCAGAATCAAACCCAGACCAGAATCAAACCCGGGACCTTCAGTCTGCAGGCCAAACTGGCTAGGAAATATTTTGTATCTTTAGCATTCTTACCAGCACCATGATTTATAACATGTTACCTGAATTAAGCAAAATACCTGTAGGTCTGAATGACTTGTTTCATAGTTTCTCTTTACTTAAAGCTAATTCCTCAAAGGTAGACCCATATCTATGATTTCATATAATCCTAAGGGAGCTGTGTTAATGTTTCCATAACATCTTAGCAGCTCAGTGTATGTATATTTCAATAGGGAACTCTCTCTCTCTCTCACCATATATACTTTGTATCTTTGACTTAATACTTAAAAAAAATATATATATATATATATATATATATATATATATATATATATATATATATACACACACACACACACACACACACACACACATTTGATTCCGGTCCAGGGAATGTACATTGGTTGTGGGCACATTTAATTGATTTTTTTACAGATAGGCAGGGAGAGAGATAGAGAGTTAGAAACATCGATCAGCTGCCTCCTGCACACCTCCCACTGGGGATGTGCCCACAACTAAGACACATGCCCTTGACCAGAATCGAACCTGGGACCCTTCAGTCCACAGGCCGACACTCTATCCACCGAACTGGTTAGCGCTCACTTAATACTTTTTCAAAGTCTTTCCATATCAGGATATATGGAACTATTGAGGAAGGTATTTTTTAATCCAGGTAGATTTTTAATGTTAATGAATTGTCTGCACTCTCATAGCCTATGCCCTGTTGTCTTTTCCCATTTGGTTTCCCAGGGCAGGGGGTCCAAAGCAGTGGGGCGCTGCCTCATGACACCCAGACTGAGGTCCCCTCACACAGTCTCACTGGGTGACACTCCTCAACGGCACCCTCCTCCACATGGACGCAACTCTTGCCGTCGATACTAAGTTTTGTTTTTCGCTCGTTTCCCTCATCGCCATGGTCATCCATGCATGCGGATGGCTGAGGAATGAGTGCCTCCTCAGGCTGATGGGGGAGGTTTCAGGTTTTCTTCTCCCTCACACGCTGCCTGCTGACGTCCGCCATCTTTTATTTCCACTCCAGGGGAAGCCCTATGTCTTCGACCGCGTGTTCCCCCCAAACACGACTCAGGAGCAAGTTTATCATGCCTGTGCCATGCAGATTGTCAAAGGTAATGGATGTATTTTTGAATGTATTTGTTTAAGCTCCCCATTCCCTTCCTCACTTCTCTCCATCAGTCCTCTTTCTCTGTCGTCTTTTCCAGATGTCCTTGCTGGCTACAATGGTACCATATTTGCTTATGGACAGACATCCTCAGGGAAAACACATACTATGGAGGTGAGGGTCTGATTTCCAGGGAGGGTGAGAAACTGGGGGTGATAATAGGAGACAAAGAAATCTTAGTGTGGGAAGGGCTAGGACTCAAGGGTTGCCTGGTCCAGAGGTAGCTAAGTCTAGAGGATGACCTGAGGAACAATGATCTAGTGCAAATTCAATGCAGTCCCTTGGGCCTGCTGCAGTTTACCCTCCTCTCCACTACTCCAGTTTTCTTTTCTTTCTTTCTTTCTTTCTTTCTTTCTTTCTTTCTTTCTTTCTTTCTTTCTTTTTTTTTTTTTTTTCCTAGAAAAGCAGCAACAATGTAAGTTCAAAGGGCTGATCAGTTCTGTCCCCTTCCACAGAAAGGTAGACATAGCAGTGACCATCTCCTAACTTAGGATGGTTCCTATCAACTCTTACCTTCGTGTGCACCTGCACACCTCTGAGTTGTCTCATTCTTCCTAAGCTCCAACCTTATTCTAGAATATCCTTACTCCCCAGGGAAAGCTGCACGACCCCCAGCTGATGGGAATCATCCCTCGAATTGCCCGAGATATCTTCAACCACATCTACTCCATGGATGAGAACCTTGAGTTCCACATCAAGGTGATCAGGGCATGACCTCTGGGCGCCTTCAGATGGGGACTTGGAGGGGGAGATCTAGTGTGAGCTCCCTGAGATCCTGGGCACCCCAACTTACTCTCTCTTCTGGTTACCTCAGTTCTTCTCCCCTAAGATATTTTCTTCTGCTCTTTCTTTCTCACTACTATTGTTGGAGCAGGTCACATTTAAATTACCTGCACATTTTAAAATGTTACCTGCACTGTGACACTTCATACTCCTCTTTTCTCCCTAACCAGGTTTCTTACTTTGAGATTTACCTGGACAAAATTCGTGACCTTCTGGATGGTGAGTGGTGTTTAACCCCAATGGATTGGGGAGGGGGGGGGTAGTGGTGAGAAGGGCAAGGAAAAGAAAGGTCACATTGCTCTTGGGGTTTGGTACTGTTTGTCAAGATGCAGAGGGCACACAGGGCACACACATCCATACCTGTGTCCCTTGACTCCACTCACCAAGATTTCCAAAAACTAATAGGGTCCAAGGATGAGCTCAGATGCCCAGGCCTGCATATAAACAGTCTGAGAGGAGCTGGACCCCTGGGGCTGGAATCCTGGAGAAACCGAGTCTTCTGTTTGTGCAGGGAGTTTAGGTTTCACAGGGAGTCTCGTTCCCTTTTGCACATAGAGGAAACCACCATCTGAGTGGACTACAGGCTGCAGGGGGCAGGGGCAGTGGGAGTGCTAGCCTTGCTCACCTGTGTTGTCTTGATTCAGTGACTAAGACAAATCTGTCTGTGCATGAGGACAAGAACCGGGTGCCGTTTGTCAAGGTGAGTGGGGGAATGGGGCACCCAGTGGGACCCAAGTTTCCCAAGTGTGGGTGGATATGGAAGAAGGATAGACCAGTCCCAGAGGTTGGAGGGTGGGTCTTCTGGAGGGGTGAGATGTGCCAAGGGCCCAGGAAGGGTCTGGGAGCTTGGAAAGGTCATCATCTAGAAAGGTTATTTTGTCCAAGTGCAGGTAACTTAACTTGCATATCAGAGTTTATGGGTTATTATCCATTTGTCCCCTGCAGGGTTGTACTGAACGCTTTGTGTCCAGCCCAGAGGAGATTTTAGATGTGATTGATGAGGGGAAATCGAATCGTCATGTGGCTGTCACCAGTGAGTGGGGATATAAGGGGCTTTTGACTCTGGGGTATGCCTTCTCTCTATGCCTGTGGGGATTGAGGGACTTGTAAAAGAGCAAGGGAAAAGTGTCCTCTAGAGACCCTTTAAAAAATTATATATATATAATTGACTTTCCACAGAGAGGAAGGGAGAGAGACAGAGAGCTAGAAACGTCAATGAGAGAGAAACATCAACTAGCTGCCTCCTGCACCCTCCCCCACCGGGGATGTGCTCGCAACCAATGTACATGTCTCTGACCGGAATCGAACCTGGGACCCTTCAGTCCGCAGATCGACGCTCTATCCACTGAGCCTAACCGGTTTCGGATATATATATATTTTAATTGACTTCAAAGAAGGGAGAGGGAGAAAGAGAAACATCAATGATGAGAGAGAATCATCAATTGGCTGCCTTCTGCATACCCCACACTGGGGATCGAGCATGTGCCCTGACCAGGAATCGATCCATGACCTCCTGGTTCATAGGTTGATGCTCCACCACTGAGTCATACGAGCTAGGCAAAGAGGGACCCTTTTTAGGTGACCCTGCTGCCTGGGAAATGTAGTGGTGGGACCCTCTCTTGGTTGGTAGGGGTAGGGGTCAGGCGGAGCCTGGCTTCAGTTCACAGGTTGGTACTAGGACTTCCTCCCTTTCTCACACAGACATGAATGAGCACAGCTCTCGCAGCCACAGCATCTTCCTTATCAACATCAAGCAGGAGAACATGGAGACTGAGCAGAAGCTCAGTGGGAAGCTGTATCTGGTGGACCTGGCTGGCAGTGAGAAGGTTAGGGTCTTGTGGGGGTCACGTGGGGAGGGAAGGAAGCCTTGGGCGGAGGTGTCCTTTTCTTAAAATCAAGCTAACTTTTAAAAAATTGAGACATAATTCACATTCCATAAAGTTCACCATTTAAAAGAGTGTAATTGAGTGGTTTTTAGGATGTCTGTAAGGTTGTGCAACCATCACCCCAAATTCTAGAACATTTTCTCTTTTTTATTGATTTTAGAGAAGAAGGGAGAGGGAGAGAGATAATATAAATATCCATCATGAGGGAGATGATTGGCTGTCTCCTGCACACCCCCTACTGGGGACTGAGCCCGCAACCCTGGCATGTGCCCCTGACTGGAAATGAACCCATGACCCTTGAGTCCACAGGCCAAAAAGCTCTATCCACTGAGCCAAATGGCTACTTTCTTCTTGATGGGTTTGCCTTTTCTGGACATTTCACACAAGTGGGATCATATAATATGTAGGTGGGAGGGGATGGTCTTTAGCAAAAGAATCTAGAGGAATAGAGGAAGGGCCTTCTCTGTTCTGTCCTTTTTCCATGTCCTCTCCCCTCTTTGGGCTGGACCCCCCTTCCCCCATAGAAAGGAGGTAGCGAGAGCCCTCTGCCTTTGCAGTGCTTCATGACACACTTGTCCCTTAATGCCCTGATAGGTCAGCAAGACCGGAGCAGAGGGAGCCGTGCTGGATGAGGCAAAGAATATCAACAAGTCCCTGTCCGCTCTGGGGAACGTGATCTCTGCTCTGGCCGAGGGCACTGTGAGTGTCCTCAGGTCTCCTCACCCTCAAGTTCCCCCTCATCTCCCACCTTCCCCTCACGCTGCCCTTCAACCATGCCCCTATTCATGGATTGCCCGATCCCTGGTCCACCACTCTGCTTTCCGATTCCCCTGTTAAGTTTATTTTTCTCATTCACATCTCCCTCCTCCCCCAGAAAAGCTATGTTCCATATCGCGACAGCAAAATGACACGGATTCTCCAGGACTCCCTGGGCGGGAACTGCCGGACAACCATGTTCATCTGTTGCTCACCGTCCAGCTACAATGATGCGGAGACCAAGTCCACCCTGATGTTCGGGCAGCGGTCAGTGGCAGGGTCCCCGCTCCCTGCCCAGCCTCCGCCGCTCTCACTCTCCAGCATCAGGCCAGCCGTCAGGGACATCTCCTCACCTTGATCCCCTCTCCTCACCAAGGGCGAAGACCATTAAGAACACCGCCTCCGTGAACCTGGAGCTGACTGCTGAGCAGTGGAAGAAGAAGTATGAGAAGGAGAAGGAGAAGACAAAGGCTCAGAAGGAGACGATTGCAAAACTGGAGGCTGAGCTGAGCCGTTGGCGCAATGGTTAGAGGGGAGTTCTGTGGGCAGGAGAGGAGGTGGGAGGAGGAGGGGGCTTAGGGAGCCAGAGAGCCCTGTCTGGGGTGGTGCTCAAGGGCAGGCCAGTCTCCAAGGAGGGCTGTGTCCATGGAGAGGTGCAGAGGAGCCGGCCCCCTGACTGCCATGTCCCCCAACCCCTGAAAAGGTCCACTCAGAAAGAGCGATGGAGGCCTGCAGGTGCTGGTGCTGAGCAGTGAGGAGGAAGGACGGGTGGATGAAGCTTTCCCTCTCCCCTCCCCTCCCTTTGTTCTGCCCCTTTGCCAGGAGAGAATGTGCCTGAGACAGAGCGCCTGGCGGGTGAGGATGCCGTCCTGGGAGCGGAGATCTGTGAGGAGACCCCTGTGAACGACAACTCCTCCATCGTGGTGCGCATCGCGCCTGAGGAGCGGCAGAAATACGAGGAGGAGATCCGCCGCCTCTACAAGCAGCTGGATGACAAGGTGGGGACCACCGGGCAGGCACAGAGATGAGCCAGTGGAAGGAGAGTGAGGGGTTGAAAAATTATGCCCTAGCCCTAATTGGTTTGGCTCAGTGGATAGAGCGTCGGCCTGCAGACTGAAAGGTCCCAGGTTCGATGCGGGTCAAGGGCATGTACCTTGGTTGAGGGCACGTTCCCAGTAGGGGGTGTGCAGGAGGCAGCTGGTCAATGTTTCTCTCCCATTGATGTTTCTAATTCTCTATTCCTCTCCTGTCTTCTTTGTGAAAAATCAATAGAATATATATTTTTTAAAAATTGTGCCCTAGACGGTTTGGCTCAGTGGATAGAGTATTGGCCCATGGATTGAAGGGTCCTAGATTCACTTATGGTCAAGGGCACATACCTTGGTTGGTGGTTCCTCCAGGCCTGATCAGGGTGTGTGCAGAAGGCAACTAATTAATGTGTCTCTCTCACATCAATGTTTCTCTCTGTGTCTCCCTCTCTCTTCCATTCTCTCTAAAAATCAATGGAAAAATATGCTCGGGTGAGGATTAACAACAACAACAAAAATGAGCTTATACTGCTCTATGTGATTTTAAGTAGGGTAAATGCTCATTATTGAAAATGTGGGAGATAAATACAAATACATAGAAGGAAATTAAAATCACCTATCATCCCACTCTTCAGAAATAACACTATTAATATTTTGCCTTTTTCTGTGCATATACCATGTATTAGTAATTGAAATATACTGTATATGTAACAATTTGATTTTTCATTCAGTATTCTATCATGAGCAATTTCCTACTTTGTTAACAGTTCTTCATAAAACTATTTTTTAAAATATGTTTTTATTGATTTCAGAGAGGAAGGCAGAGAGAATCATGGATTGGCTGCCTCCTGCATGCTCCACATGGGACCGAGCCCACAATCTAGGCATGTGCCCTGACCTGGAATTGAACTGTTAACCTCCTGGTTCATAGGTCGATGCTCAACCACTGAGCCATGCTGTCCAGGCCATAAAAGTATTTTAAAATGGCTGTCTAATAGCCATTTTAAAATGGTCTGTGTAATAGAATGTCTTTAACCATTCACTTACTACAGAGTTTCTACTTTTTTTTTTTTTTTTTTTGTATTGTTTGTCTTGCTATTATAATGATTAACTTTGTGTGAGACTTTGCTTTTGAATGATTTGGATAGAACTTTTAGGGGGATTTTTAGGTTAAAAGATAGGAATATTTTAAGGCTTTTGCTATGTACTGTCAAGATTAAACCAACTCCCAGGAAAAAAGGAATGTAAAATGAGGGCAGGAGTTGAGGAAAGAAACTGAGGAAATTCAGACGTCTTTTCGGGATATGGTGTTTTGTGTGTTTTTCAAACTCAAAACCTAAACTATCTGGATTGTATTCGGATCCTGTCTCTCCCTCAGCCCAACGGTTCATCCCTTCACTTCATCTTCCCCCTTTGCCTCCAACAGGACGATGAGATCAACCAGCAGAGCCAGCTCATCGAGAAGCTCAAGCAGCAGATGCTGGACCAGGAGGAGGTAATGGGAGGAGGGACGGCGTGCGAGGAGAGGGGGTTGTGTTCGTCCCTGGAAAGCATAGAAAGGACCTCCTTACCGTCAGATGGGAGAAGGGGCATTCTGCTAGGGTTTAGTCACCCCAAAACCATGGAGGTCTGCGGTCTTAACTGGGGCTTTGCTTAAAGCTCAAATTGTAGCATCTCGATGTGCTTCTTCATTTTGTCGCCCTATTTCTAAGGCGCCTAAAGCCCACTTCCTCTTGACTCTTACTTTGGCCCTGGCTCCTCTCCTAGAGCTCTGCCTGGGCGGGGCTCAGCACCCTAGAGCAGGGTCACGGAGTGGTCCCTGGCAGCAGACTCCCTCACATGCCTCCCCTCTCCCTCGAAGCTGCTGGTGTCCACTCGGGGAGACAATGAGAAGGTCCAGCGGGAGCTGAGCCACCTGCAGTCAGAGAACGACGCTGCGAAGGATGAGGTGAAGGAGGTGCTGCAGGCCCTGGAGGAGCTGGCCGTCAACTATGACCAGAAGTCCCAGGAGGTGGAGGAGAAGAGCCAGCAGAACCAGCTTCTGGTGGATGAGCTGTCTCAGAAGGTGGTGAGTGGCCCACTGGTGTCCAGGAGCTCCCCGGCCTCAGGACATCCCCTACATCCAAAGGGACTGTTGCTGCCCTCCAGGCCGCACTGTGTCTGCAGCTTGGCACTGGGGTTCGGTGTGTTGTGAGGCCCTCCCGTGGCTGGTCACTGCTCTTTGTCCCCCTGACCCCTCGCTCTTCCAGGCCCTTCTGCAGGGCCTGTGTTCTCTTCACAGAAGCCTTCAGGGTCACGCATGAAGGGAGAGGCCTCTGCCTGGGCTGGGGAGGGTAACAGGAAGATGGCGATGGGGTGACTGAGGGCTGTCCGCAGGCCACCATGCTGTCCCTGGAGTCTGAGTTGCAGCGGCTACAGGAAGTCAGCGGACACCAGCGAAAACGAATTGCTGAGGTGCTGAACGGGCTGATGAAGGACCTGAGTGAGTTCAGTGTCATCGTGGGCAACGGGGAGATTAAGCTGGTGAGTGGAGAAAGAGGCAGCAGTTTTGTTCAGATTTTTTTCTGTTCTGGGCATTGGTGGGAGATGCAAGACGGGAGAATGCGGGCAGGCTGTCAGGGACAGAGAAAGGCGGGCCACAGATCCAGGAAACACGCCCTCAAACGAGACCCAGGAAAATAGAGCTTGCATAGATTCAACTGAAAATATACCTTTAAAGGGTGCTACGTAAAAAGCAATGGAACAGCTTATGTGGTCAGTTTGGCTCAAATAAACTCTTAAAAAAAAAAAAAAAAAAAAAATATATATATATATATATATATATATATATATATATATATATATACTGTTATTGACTTCAGAGAGGAAGGAAGAGGGAGAGAGAAATAGAAACATCAGCGATGAGAGAATCATTGATTGGCTGCCTCCTGCATGCCCCCCACTGGAGAATGAGCCCGAAACCCGGGCATGTGCCCTTGACCAGAATTGAACCTGGGACCTTTCAATTCGCAGGCCGACACTCTATCTACCGAGCCAAACCAGCTAGGGCTCAAGTAAACTCTTATTAAAAGTCGCTCCCTCTAAAAAAAAAAATTAAATAAATAAATAAAAATAAATAAAAAAAAAAAAAAAAAAAAAGGAAGAAGCAGCAATGGAGATGTGGTTACAGCAGGAGTTAGAGATGGGGCACGGAGTGAGAAATGATAGATGCAAATCTGTGGCAAGGACAATGCCCGTTCGTTTGGGTGATCAAGCAGAACTGTTTGGCTGAAGAAGAAAATCACATTGCTTTATAAGTGGGAGAGGGTGACTGTTGGGATTGGATCTCTGAATGCGGATAGAGGGATAGTGTGAAATGCGGGGTGACAGAAAGCTGCTAACAGTTGTTGGGAGAACATCTGTCCCACCCGAGTCCCTGTGCACGTGGTGTGTGCGGGGAGAAGCACAGTGGACGGGAACGGGTGAGAGGTTTCCCGCAGCAGAGCCCCTGCTCCCTCCCTTGCCCCCCGCAGCCGGTGGAGATCAGTGGGGCCATCGAGGAGGAGTTCACCGTGGCCCGACTCTACATCAGCAAGATCAAGTCGGAGGTCAAGTCTGTGGTCAAGCGGTGCCGGCAGCTGGAGAACCTCCAGGTGGAATGCCATCGCAAGATGGAGGTGACCGGGCGGGAGCTCTCCTCTTGCCAGCTCCTCATCTCCCAGGTGAGAGCCTTCGGGGGCCGTGGGAGAAAGAGGGAGACTCTGTGGTTTTGAGGTAAAGCTCCTAGCACCTACCTTTATGTCAGGTGGGCTGAGGGCCCACTGAAGCCAAGGACAGAAGAGCTGGGCTGGCTGGGGGAAGGGCCTGGGCCAGAGAAGTGAAGGTTCAGCGAGGATACTGGCCTCTAAGCTGATGGGGTGTGAAGAAAGGGTCTCTGGAAGCATGGGCCCTCACGGAAGGCATAGCAGGAGCGGAGGGCCTGGGGAGAGACCTGGAGTTTACCGAGGTCGGTGCTGCCCAGCGCGGTGACCTTTGCCCCGTCCATCCTCTTCCTCTCGCCATCCCTTCCCCCACCAGCACGAGGCCAAGATCCGCTCGCTCACGGAATACATGCAGAGCGTGGAGCTGAAGAAGAGGCACCTGGAGGAGTCCTATGACTCCCTGAGTGATGAGCTGGCCAAGCTCCAGGCCCAGGGTGAGCTCTTACACCCCAACCCATCCATCCTGGGATGTGAGGTTCCAGAGCAGGCAGGGAGTCAAAGGTGACAGACACTGAAATAAACCACCCAGCTGCACACTCCCCCAAATGGAGACCAACTCACATGCTACTTAGCAAGTTTTTGCATGTAGCGTATTGTACACGAACCATAAACACTCCGTTGTCTCTGTCCCTGCTATATCCAGCTGGGCTGTCCTGACCCACAGGAACATCCCCGTGGGCCCAATTCTGGGGAGGTGTGCCCTGCCCTGCCCGGAGGTCTGGTCATGATGTGAGGTTCTTCCCGGTGGAGGTAGGTGCACTGTAAGCTGTCTTTCCCTCTTGTAGAAACTGTGCATGAAGTGGCCTTGAAGGACAAGGAGCCGGACACACAGGATGCAGACGAAGTGAAGGTGAGTGGGGAAGGTGTGGGGACGGCAGGCCTGGCAGGGCTGTGCTGGCCCTCCCTGAGCTGTGTTGGGGAGCCTGGCTTTGAGCTTGGGGTGGTGTTGTTTGTAGAAGGCCCTGGAGCTGCAGATGGAGAGTCACCGGGAGGCCCATTACCGGCAGCTGGCCCGGCTCCGGGACGAGATCAACGAGAAGCAGAAGATCATTGATGAGCTCAAAGAGTAAGCGTTCCCGAGGGCGGCTCCGGTCCCTCCCCGGTCCTCTGCCCGCTGTGCCCACTCAAATGCTCCCTCAGATCCTATTCTTTAACTTCCATGTGTCACCCCCCAACAATGACAGGACTTTGCTGCCCAACTCCAGGAGGTACAGGAGTAAGGCCTTGTCCCAATCCTTGAGGCTCTTCTGTCTAGATAGCTCAGGGTTCCTCACTCTGTCATGGAAACAGTGGCCCGAGCCTGCCTATATCTGAAGGGCGATGCATCAAATCTAACTGGACTCGCTCATTCAAGAGGGGGAGATGCTGGAGGACTGGTCTTCCCTTTCGCCGTCATTCACATCCTTTTGTTGTCTCCATACCTCGTGCCCTCCACAGCCTGAACCAGAAGCTCCAGCTCGAGCTGGAGAAACTTCAGGCCGACTACGAGAAGCTGAAGAACGAAGAGCAGGAGAAGAACACCAAACTCCAGGAGCTGACGTGAGTGCCCGGGCGCCTGCAGACCAGCCCCGCGGAGGCTGACGGGCTCAGCCGCTCCTGCGGAGGCCAGGGGCTGTGTAGCTGTGAATGTGGCGGCCACAGGAAGCAAATGCCTCAAAAGAATAATTGTATGGGGTAGGGAAGGGGGAAAAAGGGAGACTTTCAGAAGTGACCTCTATTGAATATTAGCTGACAGGGAAAGATGTTTGTGATGTTCTGTTATGTGTAAAAAGCAGGTTACAAAACAGTATGTTCACGGTCCCATAAAATATTTATAGCATGTGCATGAATAGGAAAAAAAAAAAAAAAAAAACCTGGCAAGACGGACATAAAAATGTTAATGGTGGTTTGATCTGTGTGTAGTAGAGTCATGGGCTTTTTATGAAACTCGTCTTCCTTATCTTTTTTCCACCTTTTCTAAATTTGTGCACAGTGAACATGGGTAAGTTGTATAATAGGTAATTTTAAAAAAATGTAAAAGGAAAGGAAGCGGGAGGAGAATCCTAAAAGAATCTTCTGTTTTGCTCCTCCCCAGATTTCTGTACGAGCGACATGAGCAGTCCAAGCAGGACCTCAAGGGCCTGGAGGAGACCGTTGTGAGTGGTTTCTGTCTGTTCTGAGTTCTCGGGGTGGAAGGGGCTTCCCCCGATTCTTCCTACCCCCGTTCCTCCTGCCCTCGGCAAAGTCGGTCGTGGCATCGTTAGGACACCTCTTTTCCTAGAGATGAGTGACCCACCTGACTGTATAGACTGAAGGCCCAGTAATTTCAGAGTAAGAGGTTGACCTGGTATCTGGCTATCCCAGTCTTTCTTCCATCTCTCTTTCCAGGCCCGGGAACTCCAGACCCTCCACAACCTTCGCAAGCTGTTCGTTCAAGACGTCACGACTCGAGTCAAGAAAGTGAGTGCCACCCCCTCGGGCTCTTCCTAGCCCCCATCGTCTCCTCCTGTCCTCCGGTCCTCCAGCCCTTCGGTCTCCTGTGGGCCGGCGTGGCCTGGGCTGGGTGAGACCTGTTTGGCTTCAAGACAGCCACGTCTTTCCCTCTGTCTTTAATCAGAGTGCAGAAATGGAGCCCGAGGACAGTGGGGGGATTCACTCCCAAAAGCAGAAGATTTCCTTTCTTGAGAACAACCTGGAACAGCTTACAAAGGTTCACAAACAGGTAAGAGTGGGGGGAAGGAGTGAAGAGAACTTGTGAGGCCAGGTGCCTGGGGTACCGAATCCCCGGAGGCCCTTTGGATGGAGGAAATCTACTTGCATGCTTTCCTTCCTTTTCCCACGGATCCCTTCTCTGTACCAGATTTGGTTCCACTTTTACCTTTTTCTTTGTTCCATGCCTGTTTTCCCTTCTCAAAGCTCCCAAGCTGCCTTTGCTTAAGTGCAACCCCCAGGCTTGTGTTGCTTTAGTGAAAGGTTGAAATGGATAGAGGTGTCAGAGGCATGGGCTGTAACAATACACAACGGATACTGGTCAGATTTTAGCCAGAGATAGAAAGCAGCCAGGGAAATCGGGTTTTTTCACCGGGAGAGATGGAGAGGACTCCATCTGCCTAGGCCTGGGGCAGGCATGCAGGGACATTCAATGATGCCCTCTAGATCAGCGGTTGCCAACCCTTCGGGCCTCACGGACCCCCAGTGGCCCACAGACCACCGGTTGCGACCGCTGCTCTAGTCGGCCCATCCAGCCCCAGTTGGCCCTGTGTATTAAGTCCCTGCCTCTCTGTCGCCCTCCTTGCTGCTGCGGCTCCTTAGGTGGATGACTGGGTGTCAAAGGTATGGGGTGGGGAGGCAGAGGGGCAGTCCAAAGGAGTCAGGACAGGAAATGTTTGGTGCAGACAGAGCCAAATAGCTGGGCCTTCAAGACAGGTGCAACAGTCAGTTGAGTCTTTTTTAACTGAATCATAAAATAAACCCCTACTTCTACTTTATTCCCTTCCTTTCAAATCCACTTTAAAATTCCATATTCTCACTAAACTGGACCTTAAACTTCTTTTCCTCCTATATGTGCTGGACAGTGAAACACTGTCCAGCACATATAGTAGACACTCAATACATTAAAAAATATTAATGACAAAAATCACAGCACTGTGGCCCGGGGTAGACTGCAGGGTTTGTTTTATGTGAGCTGGCAGAGGACTTTGCTACCATCTCTTTCCCTTGGCTGATTAGAAAAATATATAATTTCATAGGAACAGTTGAAAGATGGAAGAAACATTTGTTATTGGTCCTGGCATTCTTTTTAATTTGTGCGTGTTCATTTTCCTTCTCCGTCAAAATGCATATTATATTGCCTTTCCCGCCAAATATTTTAATTCTAAAATACACATGACACAATTTACCGTTTTAATCATTTTTCTCCAGAACTCTCTTCTTCATGGAGAACGGAAACTCTATGTCCACTCAACAATAACTCCTCCTCCCCTGCCCCCCCAGTCCCTGGCACCTGCCATGCTCCTTCCTTCTCCATGGTTCTGACCACGTGCAGAAGTGGAGTCCACAGTATCAGACCTTTGGAGACTGTTTTATGTCACTCAGCATAGTGTCCTCCATGCTCATCCATGCTTTGGCGTACGTCAGGAAACCACAGGTTGCCCCCCACCTCCGCCCCCCATACCGTCTTCCACCCCCCACCCCCGGGAAGACTGTGCCTCTGCTCCAAACCCCAAATTCCAAAAGCTACTCACTCACAGGAGAGAGGACTCCTCAAAATTTCCTACCTCAGCCGAAACCGGTTTGGCTCAGTGGATAGAGCGTCGGCCTGCGGACTGAAAGGTCCCGGGTTCGATTCCCGTCAAGGGCATGTACCTTGGTTGCAGGCACATCCCCAGTAGGGGGGGTGCAAGAGGCAGTTGATCGATGTTTCTAGCTCTCTATCCCTCTCTCTTCCTCTCTGTAAAAAAATCAATAAAATTAATTTAAAAAAAAAAAAATTTCCTACCTCAGCAGACACAAGGCTAAAAGGGAAAATGAGATGAGTAGGAACTTCTTCGCTAATTGAATCTTAAATGGCCAAAGCTACAGCCCCATTAAACTAAGTTATTGCCCCAGCAAAATCTGTAAACCCTCCAAAATTAAAGGAGTACAGAAGTATTCCCAGCTCCGTCCCTTCTCCCAGCATTGCCAGTCACGCTGATTCCCCTGCTATCTTCCAAGGCCGGCTCTTTGGCCAACTGTAGTGCCCCTGGTCACGTGTGAGGCCCTGTAAAAAGGTCAGGACATCTTTTTTTGGTGTCAAGGTGGTTGCTACCTGTAGCTTAATTTAAGTGGGGGAGGGACAGCTCAGGAAATCCTTGACTGTGACGGTAATGAGCACAAATGTTTGTGAATCTCAAACATTTTCTTTCCTTCCTGTGGAGCATCGTGTATATGTGTGGGGGCAGAAGGGGAGGTGGGGCTCCTGTATTCCAGCTTCTGCTCCTGCTCTGCACTGTTCCTCACCTGCACTCAATGCCATATCCACCCTCCAAACTGCTACTGTGCTCTTGCTGCCCCACCCTGTGCATGCCCATTAAGCCATCCTGGGTGAGGGGGTGCCTCATCCCCATGGTTGCCCGGGGGCTGTTGGTTTGGCACAAGCTGGGAGATATTGGGGAGGGGGGTATCTGTAGGCCAGGAGGAGACTGGGACAGGGTGCTGTCACAGGAGTTCTGGGCTACAGTGGAGTTGGCATGTTTTGCTGCCCAGAAAACAATGTGATGTTTCATAATGCCTGACCATCGTTTGCTCAGGGAGAAGGAAAGAACTGGCAAGTTGGGTAAAGGGAATGAGGCTTTGGGAGAAACAACATGGTCTCCAAATCCTCTGACTCGATTTTTCTTTATTCTCTCTCCCCACCTGCACCCCGCACTCCATTGCTGGCTCTGTCTCGGGTCACCTGCCTTTCTTTCCACCTCTTCCCGGGGCTCACCCCGCAGCTGGTACGTGACAATGCAGATTTGCGTTGTGAGCTTCCTAAATTGGAAAAACGACTTAGGGCTACGGCTGAGAGAGTTAAGGCCCTGGAGGGTGCACTGAAGGAGGCCAAGGAGGGCGCCATGAAGGACAAGCGCCGGTACCAGCAGGAGGTAGACCGCATCAAGGAGGCCGTCCGGTACAAGAGCTCGGGCAAGAGAGGCCATTCCGCCCAGATTGGTGAGTGCGGAGTGGACGGCAGTAGGTGAGGGGGGTTACCTCCTGGGGAAATTCCTAAGTGCCCAGCAACTACATGATTGGTTTTTACTCTACCTGCCCATCCCCAACCATACCCCCCAAAGTATAAAAGTAAATTATCTGGCCGAAACCGGTTTGGCTCAGTGGATAGAGCGTTGGCCTGCGGACTGAAAGGTCCCGGGTTCGATTCTGGTCAAGGGCATGTACCTTGGTTGCGGGCACATCCCCAGTTGGGGGTGTGCAGGAGGCACCTAATTGGTGATCCTCTCTCTCTCTCATCGATGTTTCTAACTCTCTATCCCTCTCTCTTCGTCTCTGTAAAAAAATCAATAAAAAAAAAAAATATATATATATATATATTTTTTTTTTTTTTTAAGTAAATTATCTTATAAGCAGTTCACTTCAACTCCAACTTTCCTTCCTTTATTACAGCCAAACCCATCCGGCCTGGCCACTACCCAGCATCCTCGCCCACCAATCCCTATGGCACCCGCAGCCCTGAGTGCATCAGTTACACCAACAGCCTCTTCCAGAACTACCAGAATCTGTACCTGCAGGCTGCACCGAGCTCCACCTCAGACATGTAGTGAGTGGCCAAGGGCATAGGCTGGAACCCCAACCCCAGATCCTATAAGGCCTAAGGTTTGGTCTGTTATTGGGTGAGACTTGATTCTTCTTCTAAGTAGCTTCATTAGTTATTTCTCATTAATCTTTAGAAGGTGGGCATCTGCCTTCCCAGCCTGTGACCATGTTTGTTCTCTATTCTCTGGGGAGTGGGGATGGGGGTGTATGGATGGCTCCATCCCTGAGAGTGTGGCTGTGTCCTTGGCATAGTGAGGGGTGGGGGGTGCCAGAGGCTGCATCTCTCTGCTCTGCTCCATCCAGTTTTGCAAACTCCTGTGCCAGCAGCGGGGCCATGTCTTCTGGGGGCGCCTTGGCTTCCTACCAGAAGGCCAGCATGGACAACGGTGAGTGAGAATGGTGGCTCACCCGCCTTCAGGATCCCCGGGGCAAGTCGAAAAGTATAAGTGACCCTGTACCTACAGCGTGCACACTGCCCATCCCCTCAGGGGCTTGGATTCTTTTGAGTAGATTCCTCTCATTACAGTGTCTGTCCCCGCCCTTCCCTTCCTTTCCCCTGCTCCTCTCCTGCAGGAGGGACCCGGGAGGCTTCTCCTCAGCATAGCCAGGAGGAGACTGGGACAGGGTGCTGTCACTGGAGTTCTGTGCAGCATGGGCAGCTGTGGATAGAGTGCCACAGGCCCAGAGGCAGCGAGGCTCCACAGAGTGTTACCTTTCTCCCTAAGGGATTAGGATGGGAGAAGGTTGGGAGACCGTTTCTAATGCCCAATTTCCTTTTTCTTCTTCTAATCCTGTGTTCTCAATGGTGATCTCTTCAGGAAATGCCACAGATATCAACGACAACAGGTAACCCATCCCCGCTGCTCTTGGGTTCTCGGGTGGGACCAGAAGAGATGACCAAATGTCCCTGATGCCCTAGTGAGAAGTTCCCTGGAGCCTTCTGGGGAAGGAGGAGGAGATGAGAATCTTTCTTGCCATCACTGTGTAGTCCAGGAGGTCCAGCCCCTCCCCTGCCTCGGTGCAGAATACTGCCCCCTCCTCCAATCCCACCTGAGCTTCTCCCCATCCCAGTGATGGGCATTGGTGGGAAATCCCATGGACACCTGATGCCCTGGTGTCTCTCTTCCCTCTGGGAACTTTGTGACCTTGAGCAAGTCAGTTCCATCTCTCTGGCCTTGCTTTTCCCTGTATTCTCTCTTAAAAAAAAAAAAAAAAAAAAAAAAAAATATATATATATATATATATATATATATATATATATAAAATTGATTTTTTTACAGAGAGGAAGAGAGAGGGATAGAGAGTTAGAAACATCGATCACTGCCTCTTGCACCCCCCCCTCCCCCCACTGAGGATGTGCCCGCAACCAAGGTATATGCCCTTGACCGGAATCGAACCTGGGATCTGTCAGTCCACAGGCAGACGCTCTATCCACTGAGCCAAAATGGTTTCGGCTTCCCTGTATTCTGTAAGATCAGAATAGCCCCTGCCCTTCACTGCCCCACAGGAATGCCATGAGAGCAAAGCGACAGGAATGCTTTCATTTATACGGAGATGACAATACCATGATTATGCGGGATCTCTTCTTCCAGGAGTGACCTGCCGTGCGGCTATGAGGCTGAGGACCAGGCCAAGCTCTTCCCTCTCCACCAAGAGACAGCAGCCAGCTAATCCCACAGACTGCTGCGGACCTGCACTTCCAGGTAGCGTCAGGCCTCTCCCTCTGACTGGCCTCAGGTTGCCTACCTTCTCGCCCTCACCTCTTCTTTTTTCTAGTTTTTTTAATAATCTCAAAACTTTCACTACATAAATGTCCCCAGCTCCTGCCTTCCCCTTGTAAGGGCCACATTTGTGTTTCTCCAAGTCCTCTGGACACTCACCTCCCCCTTTTGGCCAAAGAAGTAACCAGGGTACTGCCTTTCTGCCACTAGGGGTCACTGCCACATGTTAAAAGAAGTGAGAGGGGGCGGATTCAGAGCCACACACAGGTCAGGGGACGTGGGTAGATACCTCGGAGACTTTGGGAGATCATCTCAACCCTCCCTCTGCCTCCACCTTAAAATAATTTTAGATGGATGGGTATTTTCCAAGACATCTCCAGTAAAGGAGATGTTTGATTTATTCCTGCACCTGTGTCCTATTCTCCTTATATCTGTATGTTACCAATGAGTTCTAGGAAATACCCCAAAAGTCTAATTTAAAAAAAAATGTATTTCATTGATGTTTTTACAGAGAGGAAGGGAGAGGGAGAGAGAGTTAGAAACATCGATGAGAGAGAAACATCTATCAGCTGCCTCCTGCACACCTCCTACTGGGGATGTGCCCGCAACCAAGGTACATGCCCCCGACTGGAATTGAACCTGGGACCCTTGAGTCCGCAGGCCAACACTCTACCCACTGAGCCAAACCGGTCAGGGCCCAAGAGTCTAATTTTTTGTTAGAGAAGTGTTAGCACTCCTCTCTTGTCTTGCTCAGCGGAGGAGGAAAACAGCTGTGTCTCCACCTCAAAGCCCCGCTCCCTTCTCACCTCAGGCCCAGGTCCTCTCCTGTAGCGGCACAGGCACCCTCCTGGTTCTTGTGTGTCCCCGAGCTCCTCGCCTGGGTGGCTGTAAGGCCCAGAACTGGGTCCTGTGGTCCTGTTCAATGGCCCACTTTGGGTCCTTGGAGAACTAGAAATGAGAGGACACAGCCAGTCTCTTACTGTGCTGCATCCAAACGGAGCCCTCTCCAGGGGTTTTTCCAAGACAGTAGGCCAGGCCCATGTAGGCAGAAAGGCATGAGAAGCAACGAAGTAGGAATGGAGTGGGAGGAGTTAGGAAAATCTGGGGTGGAGGAGGAGGGGTGGGGAAGATAGTGTCCAGTTGTTGGTATTAAAGGAACAGAACTGTAAACCGAAGTCTGTACAAATGTCCCCCTGTCCCTATTCAGTGACCGGGCAGCAGGTGGATGCTCACAACCTCTTTCTCTTTCTCCCCAGTTTCTAAGAGGGACTGAGGCCTCTTCTCTCAGCATGCTGCAAACCTGTGGTCTCTGATGCTAACTCCCTCCCCAGCCCTTGTTGTCAGATTATACTACGTTCGATGTCTTCTCTTACTCTGTATCTCTTTGTATCGATATATCAAAAGCTGCTACTATGTCTCTCCTCTGTCTTACTCTCTAAGTATCTAATGATGTATTTAGCAATTTCTAAACATAGTATACCCTCCTCGTTTGGGGGAAAGGGGAGGAGGGCAAATGTCTCCTTTCTCTCACATATGCGTCTCTCACACTGTGTGGTGTTAGTCATGGAGATGGTAAAAGGTAAAACGGGAGCCAGAGGGTTGTGACCCTTCACACACACACACACACACACACACACACACACACACACACACACAAAGCCTTAAGCAGAAGAATGTCTTAACATCATAAAAAAGACACAGAAACACACGCTTCTTCCTCCCTCGTCTTTCACATACAGCACAGGGGAGGACTGCTAAATTATATGTAGAATTTTCTTCATACACCCTTCGCCCGAACCGAGGGATTCCAGTGTGCACCTCTGCCCTTGCAGTCTGCCTTTTGCCTCCCTCTTCCTGTTCTTCCCCGGATGACTAAGAACGGAGATTGCCCAAGGGACCACTTCCTTTTCTCCTCAAAACTCCTTTTGATATTCTTGATCCCAGAGTTCCTGACCGGAACCCACAGTGCTTCGAAATATTTGGAAAGGTTGAGGAGGCAGACCCTTCTGACAGTCAGTCACATAGCTAGCTGCTCATGTGTCCATGGTGATACTTACAGGCAAGCATTGTCAAGTGAGCGCTTCTTCAGGCTGAGGGTGAACAGGCTGGGAAATGCCTAAGTGTTTTTGCCATGGTGCTGAGCGGGGTTCCTTTCTCTGCCCCATATTGGGATGCATTTCTTCCCATCTCCACCTTTTGGTTTGGGGGCTTCCAGTTCGATGGCAAAATGTCTATCTTGCGATGCCTTTCGTTCAAGCTGGAGCCTGCCTTTTCCCCAATTTACACGTAACAAACTTTTTTTTTTTCTTTACAAAGAGTTCCTTCTATAATATCCCCATCTGGTAAGTGCACTTTAAAGAAAGGGCAGGGCAGATTTTCCAGAGGTGAAGGAACCCCAGGGCTGGAACGGGGTGTCTCTTTCCCCAGCTCCTCAACCCTCATGTAAATGGATAGGACTGCTGTTTTGGTTTCAGACATCTTTTCCTTCTACATGGTGCTAAGGTGGTTTTCCAGGTAACTTCAGGGATGGAGAATGGTCACAGGCCAGTCCAAAGTAAGGAAGTCTGATGCCCAGCTATCCAGTCTTATCGAGGATGGAAGAACAGGATCCGCCAGCTGCAGGGCAACCATCCCCTAGCTTCAACTCAGGGGGAAAAGTTCATTGTGAGAAGGCTGTGTTAGCCCAGGACTCCTTCAGGGAAAGAAGTCCTTTCTTCCTTTTGGCAATTCAGGAGCAATGCAGTGGGGAGGGGAGAAATGCCAGAGGGATGTGGAATAAATCCAATGCAGTGATATTCAAACGTTTTTCAAAAGAAATCTTATATAGAACCCTAATAGAAAAAATTATTCAAAGTGATGCAGACCTGGGCAGTTTGCATTTTCTTTGTTTGGTAGAAAATGGTTCACTCGCTGAGGAGTCCTTGAACAGCCCTAAGAAACTTTGAGAGTTCTGTAGAGTAGTTTGAAAACCACTGCTTTGTGTGGAATGGAGTTCAATCTGACTTCCATGTCCTAAGCTTGCAACTCATCGCAAAGAGGGAAAAGGTGGTGGATAAGCCATCCTCTCTCCGAGTCCCCGCTGGGGAGGAAGAAGACACCTGTGCACCTGTAGACTTGTGCTCATATGTGCCAGGAAGGCACTTAAGAATCCAGTGGGTTTTATATAATCTTGCCACCAAATGATTCTTTTAAAACACGTAAGAGAACGTGAAGGTGTAGGGCAGATGCAGAGAGAGGTAACAGAGGAAGCAGCCTTCTCTTTAGCAAGATGTAAGAGAAATATGATTCACTTACATGAACCAGAAACAACACACACGCAAAGCCTTCGCCAGAAGGCCACTCTACATCTTCCTCCGCCCCCACACTTGCCGCATCCCTTTCAGAGAGCCAGGGCTGCCACAAGGGGCCCCTGGCCTGCCCACTCACATCTGCCAAATGTTGCATGCCAGTGTGGAAGACAAACCAAAATGCACAAACCCCAGTGTGTATTTATTTGATGTACATAGATACCTTTAAAATAAAATAAATTCAATGATGGCTGTACGGTGGTGTAAGTCTTTTCGCTCCCCTGTCTCTCCTTTCCTTTCCTTGCATTTGACAATGTGGTATATATCCTTCCGTATGTTTTTCTATATATTTACACACAGAGTGTTTGCCTCCCACTTGACAATATATCCTGGGAATCGTTTCCTGTCCATATACATAGATTTACCTTATTAAAGCATATATATATATATATATATATATATATATGCTTTATATATATATATAAAGCACATATATATATTCATATCTTTACCATATAACTTGTTGTTGTTGTTAATCCTCACATGAGGATATTTTTTCATTGATTTTTAGAGAAAGGTGGGAGGGGGGAGGGCGGGGCACGGGGAGAGAGAAAAACATCAATGTGAAAGACATATCAATTGATTGCCTCCAGCACACGCCCTATCCAAGGCTTGGGATTGAACCTGCAACTCAGGTATGTGCCTTTGTCTGGGAATCAAACCTGTGGTCGATGCTCTAACCACTGAGCACATTGGCCAGCACTATTTATCCTATAATTTATTCAACTATTCCACTATTGGTGGGCATCTTTCTAGATTGTTGGTAATTTTTTTTTTTAACTTCAGAGAGAGGAAGGGAGAGAGAGAAACATCATTGATCAGCTGTCTCCTACATGCCCCATTCTGGGGATCGAGCCCACACCAGAACATTTGCCCTGACCAGGAACTGAACCAACAACCTTCTGGTATAGGGGACGATGCTCAACCAACTGAGCCACACTGGCCAGGAGGCTGTTGGGAATTTTTAACAAAAAAATAATATCCTGTTCTCATTTCCACCCCAGACCATCTCCTCAGTCCCAGCATCAATTCTGTTCCTTTCCAGTGTGTCTCTATCCTGCTTGCAAACAGCTCAGTTCTTTTGTCCCATGGCCATCTATCACAATCACCCTCCTTACCCCTATTTTAGAGCATACCCCTGCCTGTCTTCTCTACTCCTGCCTCAAAGCTGCTGAGATGAATGGAGACAACTGCACAATGAAAACACTGGGGCAGCTAAAAACAAAACGCCTGCAAACCTCCCTGGACCTTCTATGCTGCTTAACCTTCCTTTTGTGTATCCTCACAGTTTCCTCTCCTACCTCCAGGGCAACTAGTCTAAACCCTTACTCCTCAAGACCCCTTCTCTCCTTTTCTCATAAGCAACAACTCTGTCTGCCTTAAAGGGAAATTTTAGCTTGGCCAGTGTGGCTCAGTGGTTGAGCATCCACCCAGGAGGTCAGGGTTTGATTCCTGGTCAGGGCACATGCCTGGGTTGTGAGCTCGATTTCCAGTAGGGGGGGTGCAAAAGGCAGCCAATTGATGCTGATGTTTCTGTTTGATGTTTCTCTTTCTCCCTCTAAAAAAATCAATAAAAACATTTTTTTAAAAAGGGGAAATTTAAGGTTATTGAACATGAGCATGAACTTCTTCACCCCCACCCATACACACACCTTCTTACTTACATATATCTGCACAGATCCTTTCCTTTCTCTCTCCCTTTTGACAAGTGATAAATCTCCCTTCTCTAGGTTAAAGCAAGTTTCTTCTAGATCTTTCATTCTTGAGATACTCAGAGCTTAATATATAAAATTAGAGGCCTAGTGCACAGATTCGTGTACCAGTGGGGTCCCTCAGCCTGGCCTGCGGGGATTGGGCAAACCTGGCTCTCCAATATCCCCCAAGGGGTCCTGGGTAGCACAGGCTAGGCTGAGGGACCCCACCAGGGAGGAACCATGGGAGGGCTCCAGGGCATGTCCTGCTTGTCTCACCCAGTTCATCAGGGCAATCGGGGGCTGGCCAGGGAGGGACTGTGGGAGATTGGCTAGCCCACGATGGAACACAGAAGGGCTCCAGGGCATGTCTGGCCCGTCTTGTCCAGTCCCAATCAGCTAGACCAGACACCAGCAGCAAGCTGACCTATTGGTTGGAGCATCTGCCCCCTGGTCAGTGCACATCATAGCGTCTGGTAGAATGAAAAGTCGGCCGGACCGGTTTGGCTCTCAATGGATAGAGCATCGGCTTGGGGATCGATTCTGGTCAAGGGCATATACCTTGGTTGCGGGCAGATCCCCAGTAGGGGGTGTGCAAGAGGCAGCTGATCGATGACTCTCTCTCATCAATGTTTCTAACTCTCTATCTCTCTCCCTTCCTCTCTGTACAAAATCAATAAAATATATTAAAAAAGAAAAAAAAAAGGTCAGACACTTACTGTAGCATATTAGGCTTTTATTATATAGAATAAGATAACTAAAAGTGATGCAGACTTTGGCAGTTTGCATCTTCTTTGTTAACTTCTGTCTCAATGATTTCTTCACTTGATTTTTTTGTTTTGTTTTTGAGTTTTCATTTCAAAATATTTTTTATTTATTTTTAGAGAGAGAGGACAGGAGAAGAAACATCGATGTGAGAGCATCCATTGGCTGCTTCCTGCATGCCGCCTACTGGGGATCAAGCCCAGAACCCAGGCATGTGCCCTGACAGGGAATTCAAGGAGCAACCTTTTGGTGCATGGGATAATACCCAACCAACTGAGTTATACCAGCCAGGGCTTCCCTTTTCCTTCTAAGGTCTCCCTTAAAAGTCCCTCTTTACTGTGTACTTCTCTTTAAAAGTCGCCCTATCTTGTTTTTTTAATACCAAAAAAAAAAAAAAAAAAAGTCCCAGGCTTCTGTCCCCACTTCCTTTCCTCCCACTCATTCTTCACCCACCTTGATCTGGCTCTTGTTCTGGTGAAACTGCTCCAAAGGTCACTAGTTACCAAGTACAATTGGCACTTACTTCTCCATCCTTGTCTTGCTTCACCTCTCTGAAACATTTGAAACTGCTTTTCACTCAATCCTTCTTGAAACGCCACTCTTGGCTTCTGTGCCCCTGCTTTCTCTCCTGGCTCCTTTGCTTCTCTGGCCACCCCTTCTCAGCCTTTTCCCAGAAGTCTTTTTTTTTTTTTTTTTTTTTAAGGCTTTTAAAAAATGTTTGTTTTTTATTTTTGGAGAGGAAAGGAGAGAGAAAGATAGAAACAAACATCTGCGCTCCTCATCCCCTCCACCCCTCCCACCCCTGCCATGAAGCCTGAAACCCAGGCATGTGCCCTGACTGGGAATTGAACCCGTGACTTCCTGGTGCATGGATCCTCAGTCACCCAACCACAATGGCTTCTTAAGTACTGGTGTACACCAAGGTCCAGCCCTTGGTCCTTTCCTTGCTCTCTCTGAGAGATCTCATCCACGCCCACAGATTCCACAACAATAAAATCTGTATCCCAGGCACAGGCCATTCTGTTGAACTGTGGGCCTGTATGTCCAATTGACCTCAGGTACCCTTACCATGTTCCAAACTGAACTCTTTTTGCCTTTAACCTTTTCATGTCACCACCATCTCTCTTCACCTCCGCCAGAAGCCTGGGATTCATTCTCAATGTCTCCCTTTCCCTCAAACTCCCCTCATCACTAAGAGTTTTCCAAACTGGCATCAAACTAGACCTTTAGATGCCATCCCTTCTTTCCATCATAACTAAGCCACTGAGTTAGTTCATGATCTCGTGCCTAGACTTTGGCAGTACTCCAGGCACCCTCCAGAACCATGCCGAGCGACCCTTCCAAACACAGGCACGTTTAATACCTTAACACCACTGACGGGTTCTTTTTCATTAAATGCTTTGGGGTTACCCTCAGCGGGAAGGAGGTTAATCCTGGAAACTGGGCAAAACCAGAAGGCGGCGACTTTCCAGCAAAGCAGCTCCCGACCGAAGAGTGAGCAGGCCAGCCCAGGCCGCACCCCCGCGGCCTCGATGACCTGCCCAGGGCTCGCGGACCCCGCGCGCCGCCCCAGCGCCAGGTGAGTCCGTCCACCGCGGCGCGTGGGGCCCCGCGGGGTCCGGGGGCGGGGCCAAGCCCGGCCCGCCCACCCGCCCGCGGGCCCGCCTCCGGTCACGTGACGGCGGCTCAGGTGAGCACGGCTTCCGGGGTCGGGAGTCCAAACGCGGCCGGCTCGGCTCCGGCCTCCCCTGGGTCGGGTACGCGGGAGGCCATGGCGTCCTCCTCGGCCCCGCCGGCCACCGTACCGGCGAGTACAGCGGCCCCCGGGCAGGGCTTCGGCTTCGCCTCCAAAACCAAGAAGAAGCATTTCGTGCAGCAGAAGGTGAAGGTGTTCCGGGCGGCGGACCCACTGGTGGGCGTGTTCCTGTGGGGCGTAGCCCACTCGGTGAGACCCGGCCCCGGCCCCGGCCCCCCGGTAGCCGCGTCCGAACCCCTCAAGCCCCTGCGCCTCGGGGCTTGTGTCTGACTCCGGGCTCCCGTCTCCGGGGCCCCTCGAGCCGCCACTTTCCGCTCCGGGCTGCCCCGCTCTCTGCTCACCAGCATCCAGCTGTGTCTTCTCGCTCCAGACTTCTCTCTTCGCCGTAGACTTGCCTCCCTCTCCGCCCTTGACCCAGCCACGCTGGTTCCGCCTTCCCCGCCCGGAATCCAGCTCCCGGCCTCCCCGCCGGATCCAGCCGCAGCCCCGGGCTGCGGAGACCGGCCGGCCCCGGCTCCGGCCGGGAGGACTTAGGGGGAGTGGCTCTCCCGGGCTGGCGGCGGCGAGGTCTCCCCAGAGTGTGTGGAAGGGGAGCAGGGAGGGGAGCTGGGTCAGGGGGATCGTTCACTTTCCTTTCCACCTTACTTTCCAGCTGCCGTCCTTGACTTTGGAAGCTTGGCTTTGAGGGAAGCTCCGGGCTTCCCGGACCTCTTAATCCTGCTGTCCCCTCCTTTCCCTCCCGAGGTACAGCACTGCAGAGAAGCTACCCTCCCTGAGCCTGGTGGTTGCGCTCACTCAGCCTGTGGTCTTAACCGCATTCCCCTTATTGGCTGGAGTGATGGTGTTTGGTGTGAAGGGGGGTCCTCTTGGACTCAAGAGGGGGCTGAGAAGCTCAGGTCCTGGGGACACTGGTGGTGAACTTTAGAAACTGCTGTAGAGGGTGTGCCTGGGAATCGGAAGGAGGCCCAGGAGGCCAGTCCTTCTCCTTTCCCGAGGCTACCTCAGGAGAAGGAATCATGGCCATGGCACCCTTCCTTTAGGCCTGGAGTGGGAGAGATTCAGTGACCTTGAATGCGACAGGCAGTGTTTTATAAACCAACTTCCTTGAATTGTTATCGTTATGGCAGGGATGTGGATGTGGAAGGGGTTGAGGAAGATTACAGTTTTTGTCACATTCTTAATTTGTGGTTTAAAATGTTGTCTGGGGTCTGTCAGCTCCCTTTTGCACCTGTGGCTCCGTGGACTGCTCCCAGCTCCCAGCTCCCAGGGTGGTATTGACTAATCAGTGTAAGGCTCTTGGTCTGGGCAAGACTGATGGAGGTAGGGCCCCCTCTCAGGTGTACTTTCCAGGTGGCTCATCCATCGCTTTGGGAAGCTTAATAAGAAGGGTTTTCGTTTAGTAAGAATTGAGAGAATTACACATAAGACCTGCCTCAGCTTCCCTATATATTTTAGCCTCGGCGTGCTACCCTCCAGCCAACACACATTTACTTCAAGTGTTTGGAATGGAGAAATTCTTTGAACATATGTCTTAGTGATGACTCAGCCTGTGTTACAGCCGATGGCAGAGGGGACATGAAGAACCATAGCCGAATTTTAGGCTAGGAATCTCAACTGGCTTTTTTTTTTCTTTTTCTTTTTCTTTTTTTCTCCCTCCTACAGGACTCCTTTTCTACCAAGAATAAGAGGATCTGGGTTTCACGGTAGTGTATGGGATTTAGCTTAGACTGCACTTCATAACCTCTGTCAAATGCTCAAGTAAGGAGAGGCAAGGCATCCCTCTATTGGTTTAATAAACACTGAAAGACCATTCAGTGCCCAACGTTTTGTTAGCAAGGCAGCTGAGAGATGCAGGCACCTTGTGCTGGAAGAGCTTACAATCTGAATGAGGAGTTTACATAAACTAGCGATTAGGCTTATGATAAGTACACTGTTACAGGTGGGTGAAAGAAACTATGGCAGCACTGGAGAGAAGGCACTTCTCAGGAACCCCCTTTCCACCCTGAACCAGCAGACTGCTGATTTTGGAGGCTGAGGAAGCATGTGATGTTGCCATCCTTTGATTGTGGGTCGGCTTGACTTTCACCCTTAAATCAGCTGTTCTTTTACTTGACACCTAGGCAGGTGGGACCTACTGCAGAGAACTCAGTCAGAATGGTCTGGAAGCACTGGTCCTCTTTGTAAGGAGATGCCTTTTGCAGGATATGGACATCTTTGTTCTTGTTGCTGTTGATCCCTCAGTCCCCCATTAACTCTCTTGTGTACTTTTAAAATGCCTTTTATTTTGTTTTTAATGGAGCATGGAACTGTTTGTCTTGGGTCTGCTGAGGATAATTTTTTTTCCCCTCTAGAATTTCTCAAGCTTTAAAAATAGTCCTGAGTTGCTTACAAGGCTTGCCTGATGTAAAATGACTGTTGTGAGCATGAAGTTTCTCGGGGGCGGGAGTGTGAGGGGCTCTGTGTGAGGGTTGCTTACTGTAATCCTTGTTGGGCAGCAGAAGAGCTCAGAGACAGTCTCTCTCACCTCTATCAAGTGAATGCATAAGCAGTGTTTTTTAAAAGAATGAGGTTTGAGTTGCCCTTTTCTGACTCTTGCTCAGTTGCTCTTTTCTGACTCTTGCCCAGACACAGTGTATGAGTAGTTCTCTACACCCCTACTCACTCACTCCCTGTTCTTGTTTTGGCTTATCAGATCAATGAGCTCAGCCAGGTGCCTCCCCCTGTGATGCTGCTGCCAGATGATTTTAAGGCCAGCTCCAAGATCAAGGTCAACAATCACCTTTTCCACAGGTATGTGGGAATCCTCACCCTTCTCACATCAATCTTTGTAGAAAAGAGTAGATAATCTAAGAGTTAAGATTGAATGAGTAGAAGGTTTTAGATTTAGAAGGCAACTTACAGGTTGTATTGTCTAACCTCCTTCCCAGGGCACAAATTCAGTGTTGTGCAAAGAAACCATTAAAATAGTTGTCAGTGTTCCCTACGCCCTTATATGTATGTGCTAGTTTATTTCTTCTCTTGCCTAGCAATTCCATAGAATAAATTCATTTGGATGCCATTACCATTGGTTTCTGATAGGGACTCCCTGAAAAAAAGAATCTCCCTAAACCCTCCTAGTATCAGAAGATGCCATCCTAAAAAGTGGCACGTATTGCCAATTTTAGGGTGTTTCTTACTTAATTGAGATTTGGGAAATGCTGTTGTTTGGGTGGGCAATAGAACCTAATTCTACTTAAGTCATATACTAGTCAGGTGACTTAAGCAGGTCACCCAGCTATCCTGAACCACGGCCTCCCCTCTATAAAATGGGAATGATATACCTTTAAAGGACCTCACAAAAATCAAATAAGGTAATATATGGAAGGTACTCGTAAACTATCAAGTCCTCTATGAATGTAAGGTAATATTGTTATATATTTTTTTTAAATCTTGAAAACCTTTTCAGGGAAAATCTGCCCAGTCATTTCAAGTTCAAGGAGTATTGTCCCCAGGTCTTCAGGAACCTCCGTGATCGATTTGGCATTGATGACCAGGATTACTTGGTGAGAGTTTATTATGGGCTGAGGTTGGTCCTTTCTCCTTAACGACTGGGGAAGCCTTGTGACAGCCATGTTTGGAGAAATGAGACCCTTGGCAAGTATGATTCTTTACCTTTTTGTTGTCATAGACATCTTAAAAAGTCTGCTGAAAACTATAAACCTTGTCCTTGAGAGGGAAAATGTAGATACATTAAAAAATTTGGCCCTGGAAGGTTTGGCTCAATTGATAGAGCCCTTGTACTGAAGAATTGAAGGGTCTCAGGTTTGATTCTGGTCAAGGGCACAGTACCTCAGTTGCAGGCTCAGTTCTCGGCCCCAGGCAGGGCCTATGAGGCAAACAATCTATTTATCTCCCTAACGTTGATCTTTCTCTTTCCCTTTCTTCCTCCCTTCTACTCTCTCCAAAAAAAAAATCAATGGAAAAATATCCTCAGGTGAGGATTAACAACAACAAATTTTTTTGGCCCTGGCTGGTGTGGCTCCGTTGGTTGGAGTGTCGTCCTGTACAGAAAAAGGTTGCAGATTTGATTACTGTTTAGAGCACATACCTAGGTTGCAAGTTTGATCCCTGGTTCAGGTGCATGCAGTGGGCAACTGAATGATGTTTCACTCTCACATTTCTCTCTCTCTCCCTCTTCTTCTCTCTCCCAAATCAATTTTTAAAAGAGTTTGTCCTCAGCTGAGGTTTAAATAAAATTTTTTTTATTTCAGTCCCTATATAGACACCAGATTAAGCAATCCTGCTCAACTTGTTATGCCAGGGTTTTATCTACTTTTAGACATATTCAGTTGACCATTATCCTGTGACTTGCATCTCTGTATAAAAAGGCAAGAAAGCCCTAGCTAATTTGGCTCAGTGGATAGAGCATCAGCCTGTAGACTGTAGGGTCCTAAGTTCGATTCCAGTCAAGGGCACATGCCCAGTTTGTGGACTTGATCCCCAGTAGTGGACATGCAGGAGGCAACCAATCAGTGATTTTCATCATTGATGTTTCTATCTCCCTCTCCCAAATCATTAAAAATATATTTTAAAAAAAGAAAAAGAAAAGAGTCTCTGGCTTATTGTGTGTCCCTAACAGGTCTCTCTTACACGAAGTCCCCCAAGTGAAACTGAAGGCAGTGATGGTCGATTCCTTATCTCCTATGATCGGACTCTGGTCATCAAAGAAGTATCCAGTGAGGACATTGCTGACATGCATAGCAACCTCTCCAACTACCACCAGGTGAGGCCTATTTTTTCCATCCTCTCTCTAATCGTAGCTCGGCTGCCAGAGCACACAGGAAGACTTCCTATCCCTTTTCCTTTTTTACATCCTATTCTGCTCCCCAAGAAGTACTTGACACCATGTTCTTTTATTTTTGTAAGTGGAAAATTTTTTTTGTTTGTTTTATTAAATTGATTGGGGTGACATTGGTCAACATGAACATAGAAGTTTCAAGTGTGGGTTTCTTTTATTTTAATTTTATTATACACCATGTGTTTTTTTTTTTAATATATTTTTATTGATTTTGTACAGAGAGGAAGGGAGAGAGATAGCGAGTTAGAAACATCGACGAGAGAGAGTCATCAATCAGCTGCCTCTTGCACACCCCCTACCGGAGATGTACCCGCAACCAAGGTACATGCCCTTGACCGGAATCGAACCCGGGACCCTTCAGTCCCCAAGCCGATGCTCTATCCATTGAGCCAAACCGGTTTCGGCTACACCATGTTTTTTAAAAACTAGAAATTTCAGCCCAAGTTGGTTTGGTCAATAGATAGAGTCTCAGGTTCGATTCTGACCAAGGGCACATGCCTTGGTTGTGGGCTCGATCCTCAGTAGGGGGTGTGTAGGAGGCAGCTAATCAATGAATGGTTCTCTCTTTCATCGTTGATGTTTCAATCTCCCTCTCCCTCTCCTTTCCTCTCTAAAATAAATAAAATATATTTTTTTAAAAACTAGAAATTTCAAAAAAAAAAAAAAAAAGCCTCTGTATAGCTATTTGTGTTTTGTTTAAATAGAAGAATTTAGACCATGTTCTTTCTCATTTGGTACTTAACGATCTAAAACAATTGTGGATTATACATAAAGTCTATGTGTATAACAAAGTCTAAACTATCGATTTATAATTAGGTGAAGTTTTAGTACCAAATATACTATCTGGAATATATGCAGTTTGGGGAGAAAACCAGAGTAAGTACACAATTGGGATAAACTGTAAAGTAGAAGCCATGATCATATCCAGCCCTAAAAAGGATTAGGGAGCTATTGTGGCTGATTAGCTTAATCTGACATGTGGAGTTTGTGGAATATTTTGGTGATAAAAACACTACCTGGCCCTGGCCCAGTGGTTCAGTCAGTTGGGAGTGTTGTCCTGTGCATCAAAGGGTTGTAGGTTTGATCCCTGGTCTGGAAGTATTTGGGAAGTGGTCCATTGATGTTTCTCTCCTTTACTTTCTCTCTAAAAAGCAATAAAAACATCCTTGGTTGACGATTTAAAAAGTAATAATAATGAAAGAAAAAACACACTACCTGATTGTCTTTCTAATGAAAACAAACAAACAACAACAACAACAACAAAAAACCTCACTAAAACCAGTGAACAAGGAATAAGTGAAAAACTCTAAAAGGAATATTTGTTTTCCAACAAATATTGAATGTCTTCAGTTGCTAGACCCTGTGTTGGGCTGTGGAGAAAGAAGTGAATGAAATGATCATGGCCTTTGAGGATCTCTTAATCTAATGGCAGAGTCCAGTAAGTTAGCATTAGCATGCAACAAAATGTGTACAATAGTAGAGGTAGGTATAGAATGCTCTGGGGGGTACAAAGGGAAGAGCAGCCCAGACCACTGGCAAAAGGAAATATACTTGGGAGGCTCAAAGAGACTTTTTTAGAAGGGGTATCAGTGTAGTTGATTCTTGAAAGGCTGGTAGGGACTAACCATTTGGCAATGTGCTAGGCAAAGGAAAAACAGCACTTGTAGAGGCACCGAAGCATGAGAGAGCTTAGTGTTCAGAACTGCAAGAAATTCAACGTGGTTGGGATATGATATTGTGGGAAAATAGTTAGGCAGAACCCAGATTGTGAAGGGTTTTATAAACAACAGAGTTTGGACTTGATCCTGAAGGTGGTTCGCAGGAGAGTGATTTGTATGTTACTTAGAAATATCCATGTGACAGCATTTTACAGAATGGATTGGAGGGAGAACTATTGGGAATGGAGATACCAGTTAGGATCTATACTAATAAAAGGGTAATATGCAAATTGGTCAGGATGCCCTCACCTTAACGGCCAAACAGCAGGCTGTGTGGGGTGACCAGGTCAGCAGGGGGGCAGTGAGGGGTGACCAGGCTGACAGGAGGGGCCATGAGGGGCGACTAGGCGGGTGGGGGGCAGTTGGGGGTGACCAGGCCAGCAGCGGGGAGCACAGTTGGGGACAAGCAGGCCAGCAGGGGGCAGTGAGGGGCAACCAAGCGACTGAATAGCAGGCTGCATGGGTCGGTCGACCAGGCTGGCAGGGGGTGGCAGTGAGGGGTGACCATGCTGGAAGAGGGGGGCAGTGAAAGGCAACTAGGCCAGGAGGGGGGGAAGTTAGGGGTAGCCAGGCCAGCAGGGAGGGGGCAGTTAGGGACAATCACGCTGGCAGAGGGGGACAGTTGGGGGTGACCAGGCCAGCGGGGGGCAGAGGGGCAGTTAGGGGAGATCAAATGACTGAACAGCAGGCTGTGTCGGGCAATCAGGCTGGCAGGGGCAACAGTAAGGGGCAACCAGGCCGGCAGAGGGGGGCAGTAAGGGGTGACCGGGCTGGTGGGAGGGCAGTTGGGGGTGGCCCGGCCAGTGGGGGGGTGGGGAGGGGGCAAGTGAGGAACAACCAAATGACCGAACAGTAGGCTGTGTGGGGCAACCAGTCTGGGGGGAGAGGCAGTTGGGGGTGACCAGGCTGGCGGAGGGTGGGGGGACTGTTAGGGGTGATCAGGTCAGCAGGCAGAGGCGGTTAGGGGTGATCAGGCTGGCAGGGGGGCAGTTGGGGGTGATTAGGCAGGCAGGTGAGCAGTTAGGAGCCAGCGTCCCAGATCATGAGAACTATTTTTAGTTCTCACGATCCCTGAGATTGGGCCTAAACTGGCAGTGTCAGACATCCCCAGATGTCAGAAATCCCCTAAACTCCCGTGATCCCTGAGATTGGGCCTAAACTGGCAGTGTCAGACATCCCCAGACGGATCCAGCATGCAGGCTGGGCTGAAGGGACTCCCCCTCCCCCACTCGCCTCCCGCCCCCATGCATGAATTTCTGGGCCTCTGGTGTAATTATAATTGTCTAGGTGAGACGTGACAAGGACCTGGAGGAATAATATCAATGGATATGGAAAGGAAGACTTAGGGTAGAGTTGTGGGAATTAAGACAAAAGCATCTCTAAATTCATGGTTAGGGGGGTCAGGAAGCTCATTGACTAACACTTGGAAACAGAAAAAGAAATACGTTTTTGAAGGAAGACAGTTCTGATTTAGACATGTTGAGGGTGGGGTTTCTGCAGTTGATCCAGATATCACTGTCCATCAAGTGTTTGGGAAATGAAATACAGGAAAGAGGATTAGAGTAGAAGTCTAAATTTGAGAGTTAAAGGTGAAGAGGTGGTAATTAAAGCATGAGTATAGATAAGATTATTGAAGGGAAGTGTGGAGTGAAATGAAAATTGAGGACAGAACATTAAGGAGCAACTAGAGAAAAGATCCCTTAAAGAAGACTAAGGATCAGTGGACACTTGTAATTATACCCCACTTCATTCCATACAGGATTTGAGGACAGAGAGGAGGGGAATCAGAAGAGTGGTCTAATGGGAACTGAGGGTGAGGAGAGTTTTAAGAAGAGACTGGTCAGTAATATAACTGCCATTCAGTTAATACAAGACAATGACTAGATATTCATTGAATTTGGCAACTGAGGGATTTGGGGGAAGAAGGAGTAGAGTGATTCCAGAGGAGAAATGAGGGTATATATCTGACTTCAGGTTTGAGGTATGAATGAGAGCTAGGAAGTGGACTGATTGCTGACTACTTTTCTGAGAGATTGGTTATGAAGAGAAATAGGTAGCAATACTGAGAGAGAGAAGCATTGAAAGAAGAATAATTTTTCCCAGCTAGTGGGGTTTAGTGGTTGAGCGTCAACCTATGAACCAGGAGGTTATAATTCAATGCCCATTCAGGGCACATGCCCGGGTTCAGGCTTGATCCCTAGTGTGGGGGATGCCGGAGGCAGCCAATCAATGGTTCTCATCATTGATGTTCTATCTCTCTCTCCCTCTATTCCTTCCTCCTCTCTGAAATCAATCAATCATATATATATATATATATATATATATATATATGGAATATTTTTTAAATTGATTTTAGGGAGAGGAAGAAAGGGGTGGGGGGGGGAGAAAATTGATGTAAGAGAGAAACATCAATTAGTTACCTTCCGTATGTGCCCTGACTGAGGATCAAACCCACCACTCAGGTATGTGCCCTTGACCAGGAATTGAACCTGCAATCCTTTGGTGCATGGGATGACACTCTGATCAGTTAGTTGAGCACACCAGCCAGGGTGAAAGAGAAATAATTTTTTTTTAAGAATCCAAATGATAGGCCATCAGGCAAACATTTTTACTCAGGGAATCCAAGAAACATTGATCTGGATAAAATCAATTTGTTGATAAACAGATGTAATTTCTAATTCTATGACCATTTGCATATAAAGGTCTAATATAAGGATAATAACACCCCCATTCCCCATCTGAAAGAAAAATAAATATGAAATGAGAGAAGGTACTTTAAAATTAATAATTTGTATGATGTGTAGTTATGCAAATGATTAATCTGAGATGAGTATTCTGAAACTTCACAGATGGCCGGAGGCATCTTTAGGAAGTGCCCACCACCTTTGACCTTGTAACCTCTTTGTTTGAAGTTTTCTGCTCAGTCTGGAATGATAGTGTTTGAATGCCCTTCCCTAAGCTGTTTGTATATCTGCTGCTCAATCTCTTTCCATTTCTTTCTCTCTTCTACCAGTACATTGTGAAGTGCCATGGTAACACGCTGCTGCCCCAGTTCCTGGGGATGTACCGAGTCAGCGTGGACAATGAAGACAGCTACATGCTTGTGATGCGCAACATGTTTAGCCACCGTCTTCCTGTGCACAGGAAGTATGACCTCAAGGTACAGAGAGGATAGGTAGGGTGGAGGGGGAGGCTCCTGGTGGCCTGAGAGAGGGGAGGGCCTGGGAGGCTACTGGATGATTTATTTTAAAGGAAAGAAGCCTATGGGTTTGAATACTCTTCTTAGAAGCTGGATCTTGATTGTTCTTTTAGCCATTTCTGCGAACTTTGTCTTTGTATCTCTCCACAGGGCTCCCTAGTGTCCCGGGAAGCCAGCGATAAAGAAAAGGTAATACTAATTTTAGGGTGAGGGATTGGGGAAGGCAGGTGAAAGGGATCTTCTTAAGATAAAGAGGAAGGGATTGCCAGCTGTTAATTCTTATCTTAAACCGATAACAAGAATAGAGATGTAAACTTGTCCTAATCTATGGATTGTGTGCAAGGGAAAGTGGGAATGGCGGCTTTGTCATTGGTTATTCCTTGTGCCAAGTTTGGGGATGGGTGAGGATATCAGACTTGAAGAGCAAAATGCTTAACCTCCACCTTCCACTCTGGGCTCTTCTATTTTTATTTAAGAAGAAAGAAAGGAGTGAAGACCATAAAGAGAAAGTAGTGGGATGTGATTTGGGGTACAGCTGAAGTGACCGAGTCTGGGGACAACATTGAGGGTGAGAACAAACTCTGAGTCGGCATCCCAATGTGGAGAGCACTGAGTCAGAGACAGAGCTCTGGGCAGAGCAGGGTTTTCTGAGACCTCTGGGGAAGAGATATATATTCCCAAAATGTCCCTTTACCTCTTCTCAGGTTAAGGAATTACCTACCCTTAAGGATATGGACTTTCTCAACAAGAACCAGAAAGTTTATATTGGTGAAGAGGAGAAGAAAGTATTTCTAGAGAAGCTAAAGAGAGATGTGGAGGTGATGATGGGGGTGCTCTGGGAAATGGCTTTGTTTTCTTTTTTGCTCCCCTCAGGGTAGTTGTCTCTCCATTCAGAATAGGATGGAACTCCTCCCCTCCCCTTTATTCTTTGGGTTCTCTGCATTTAGGGAGTTGGGTATGAGACATTAAAACCCCCTAGAGGTGATGCATGGGGGTGGGGGTGGCTGGAATGAACTAAAAGGATGATTTTAGACACCAGCACATTTAGGTCCTAAAGGACAATGTTATACTACCAACCCTCAATTTTTACACTTCCTTTCCCAGGAGGGCCCCAGAAATTCGAGGATGGTGGGAGTATAAGGGTGGTACCTGGGATTGGGGAGGGAGATTTGGGGTATCTGATTTGTCATTGGGGTCTCAGTTCCTAGTGCAGCTGAAGATCATGGACTACAGCCTTCTGTTGGGCATACATGACATAGTTCGCGGCTCTGAACCAGAGGAGGAGGGCCCTGTGCGGGAGGAAGAGCCAGAGGGGGATGGGGACTGTGGCCTGGCTGGACCTCCTGCTCTGGTGGGCTCCTATGGCACCTCCCCTGAGGGTATTGGCAGCTACATGCTTTCTCATCGGCCCCTGGGCCCTGGAGAGTTTGAATCCTTCATTGATGTCTACGCCATCCGGAGTGCTGAAGGTAAGAGAGATCCTGGAAATTTTAAGGGTGGGGAGGGTAGTCCTTTAGGACAGACACCGGGGTGCTGGATGCAGAGGCTGGTTAGCTTTCAGAGGTCTGACTGGTTCCTGGGGAAAAGGAATTGGGATTATACTTGCTCTTCATTGCCGGTTACTCTCTCCAGGGGCCCCCCAGAAGGAGGTGTATTTCATGGGCCTCATTGACATCCTGACACAGTACGATGCCAAGAAGAAAGCAGCTCATGCAGCCAAAACTGTCAAGCATGGGGTGAGGGTTCCCTGAGGCTTTTCCTTTCCTGTCTTGTCTATTCCTTGGGAGGAAAGAGCCTCTTGTGTCAGAGCAATGGGGTGACAAGAGGATGAAGTGTTGGGTATGGAAAGGTGGGGAATGGAATAGAGGAGGAGGAATGCGGAAGAGTGGCTGGCTGGGCTGACACCATGTTCCATACCTCTTCTCACAGGCTGGGGCAGAGATCTCGACTGTCCATCCTGAGCAGTATGCCAAGCGATTCCTGGATTTTATTACCAACATCTTTGCCTAAGAGACTTCGTGGTCACTGCTACTTTATGTTCAAGGTGGTGGGGTTCTGAGAGCCTTGGGGGAATTTCAGATATTCTGGTCACTACTTCTCTTCCTCTGCTAAATTCAGGCTACAGGCTCCTTCCTTCCAAATAACTCCATCTTACTGAGTAGGCTCTTCCTGGCCCTCAGAAATACATTGTCTTTTCTCCCCTTTTTCCAGTTTTCTTCCCTCTCTTTCTCCCCTTCAACATGTCTGCTTGCTTCATTAGAGTGTTACTGTTGATTCTCTCCCAAGTGCCTTGATTTTTGTAAGATGTGCTGTTGTTTCTATAAAAGTAGGAGAATCTGGCGGGAGGGGTTGTTTGCTGTCTTCAGGATCTTACTGGACAGATGAAACTGGCTCAAGCAACTACTCTGGATGCACTTTGTTCTGTGGGATGAACACTAAGTGTCTGAATTTTGCTGATAACTTTATAGAACTCACTAGGGCATGCCTGTTTCCTGGTAGGCCCTGGGATGAAAGACTTTCAAAATACTGCGGGTGCAGGCACGCTCACATGATGAGATATGGCCAATCTTACACACACAGGTGGGGTGGAGAGTGGTCAGCAGGCTTGTACCTCATGGAGGTGGAAACTAAGAGGCCTCTTGTGATTATGTAGAAAACTGGAGAAAGTCTCTGTCATGGATGGACTACTCTCTCCAATCTCTTCCCTCACCCCACTTCTACCCTCGCCTCTGTACTTCTGGACACAGGAGCCCAGAGATGGATGGCCAGAGTGGCCCAGGCTAGGTGAAGGTGTTGACTGCTGCTGTTCCTCCTCAAGGCCACACACCCCTTCTGGCGCTGGAGGCCTTCAGTGGAGGAGTGACCAGTTCTGTAGGCTGGGCAGATAGGCCAGGGGTCTAAGGTTAAATTTCTTCGCTTCATGTCTAGCCATCCCTGAGGTGTTATTCCCAGGAGAAGGTAATGTCCTTACCTGGGTCAACCTGGACATTTAAAGAGAATGGAGGTCTCAAGTATAAGAACCTCCTCTACCCGCTGGAGGTGTGTGCCTAGCATACTTCCTTCCCCCACTCCTTCTCAAAGCCTTTTTCCAGTTGGATTTGTTATTCTGTTCTCTTCTATCCCATCTTGGTACTGTGTCTCCCAGTCATCTTCACTCTATTCCCAGAGAGGAATCAGAGCTGTAACTCCATCTCCAGCCTCCTCCAAAGACAGTGGACTGGATGCATGATATTCTCAGAATGTAGAGGATCCTGATGCGCCTGGATAGTATCCCCCTCACCCTCCAGCAAAGGCAGCCATTCTTCTTGCTATTCTCCATACCCCTGAGGCTTCTACATTTTAAAAAATATATAAAGATGGATACCAGCACCTGGCCTGTGAGGATGCAAAGATTATTTGCTCTGTATCTGGCTGGACTGATCTGTCTCACAAGAAGTCACGAAGTCATAAAGAAGAATTCCTGCCCTGGCTGATGTGGCTCAGTTGAAGCATCGTCCCATACACCAAAAGGTTGTGGGTTTGATTCCTAGTGAGGGTACATGCCAGGTTGCGGATTTGATCCCTGGACAGGATGCATATGGAAAGCAACCAATCAGTGCTTCTCCCTCTCCCTCTCCCTCTTCCTCTCCCAAATAAAAGAATAAAAGTAAAAACAACAACAACAAAATCCCCTTCCTTCCTCCTCCTCCTCCATCTTTGGCTCCAAAGTAAGTAACTAGAGGAATCCCATTAAAGATTGGGACTGACAATACCATCCTGCCCAGAGCCTACCTTCCCCCTGGTGAATGTACTGACTCCAAGACACCAGCAACTGTTGTTCTTTAGGAATGGGTTTTCTGACCATGAGGCTGATGTATCATGAGCAGTATGGTCTATTTGTTGCTTCTGATTTTCATCTTTTTTATTAATATGAAAGATATTGTGTATTTACTCCCATTGCTGTCACTATATAGAAATTAAATTATGGAATTTAAATCCCTCCACAGAAATGCCTCTTTTTTTTTTTTTTTTTTTTTTTTTTCTTTTCAGAAGGACCCTGTGCTTAGGATTGTAGGGACCAGATAACAAATTCTGATCTTTAAGATATTGAGCCCCTAAGTAAGGATGTAGGTTTCTACTTAGATGGCTGTGAATTTAAGGTAGCTTAGTTGGTTAGAGCATCATCCCAATACACCAAGATTGCAGGTTCGATCCTGGTCAGGGCACATACAAGAATCAACAATGAATACATAAATAAGTGGAACAACAAATCAGTGTTTCTCTTCCTCTCAAAATCAATAAATAAAACAAAAATTTTAAGTTGTTTTGTGCATTCTCCAACTTTATGGAAGTTAAACTATGGGAGGTAGGAAGAACTGAGAAGTGACCCTCCCTGGTCCCCCAGGATTCTGGGCTTGGTCACACCCCCTATCTCTGTCAAGGTGTCTCAGCCCACTGGCTAAAGAAGGAATTCGGTTTTCCCCCAGGCTTCTTGGGAAAGATGTCCTCTGCCTGGAGGGCAGAAATAGTACAGCAGGGTCCTGGGAAAGTGGAGGAGAGAGTGACCAGCCCTCCCGCCCCGAGGGGAGTGAGGAAGGGGGTGGCGGACAGAAGCTGCTGCCAGGCTGGGAGACCGGCACCTCCTGGCTGAGGAGGTCTGGCTGGTGGGAAAGCCTGGCTCGACGTGGCCCCAGGGAAGCGAGTTGGAGTCGGACTGGGGCGGAGATTGCTCTGATGTGGGAAGCAAACAGCAAAACAGCAGAGCTCCCCCCACCCCCCCTTTGAGAGTTTTTAACTATTTGAGCCATAGACTTGAAGCCACCCCAACCCCAATGCATTTTTTAAAAAACGCAATCGCTTCCCATTCTGCACTAGCCTCAGTATCTCTGCGAGAGAAAGCAATCGGAGGCACCAGCCCCCACCTGGGAGGGGGCCCAGGCGGCAATCTAGGAAAAGGGAGAAGGGGGAGGTGACAAGCAGTTTATTCCTGGGGCTTATTGTTATTTTAGTTCCGATGCTTTTCACGGTGACTCCTCTTCCCATCCCACGTTCTTCCTCAAAGGCCCTTCCCGCACAAGGATCCCAATTTGCCGGCTCCCATCCACCTAGACAGGCACCCCTCGCCCACCGCCGCCGCCGGCAGCCGGCATCGGAGGGCGGGGGTGGGGGCGTCTCCGAGGGATGTAACCTCCGACCCTCAGCTCCGCGACGCTGCTCCCTCCCCAGCCTGGGACGGAGCCTCCATTTTTGTTTTGGGGGCGAAGGGCAGGGGCTGGGGGTGGCGGGGGTCGGAGGAGACGGTGACTGCCACCTGGGAGGGGTGCAGTCCCCTCCCTTCCCTCGGTTCGCACCCCTGCACAGCCCCCTCCGCCTTCCCGGGTGCCCCCCCTTGTTGCTAAGGCCCAGGCCGTCATCCCAGCAACAGCCTCAGTCATGTGACCGGCAATGGCGGCGCTGACGGGAGGTAGGTGAGCCCGGCGCCCCCACACCCACCGCGCGCCCCCTGGGCCCCGCTCGCCCCCCGCGCGCTCCCCCGCGGCCCCGGCGCCCCCTCCTCCGCCTCCTTCCCCCGCGCGGCGCCGGGGACCCCTGCACGCCCCGAGCCCCCCTGTCTGTCATCCTCCAGCCGGGGCCTCCATTTGGGGGTTCTGGGGGCCGCGGGCGGGCGGACGAGCACCCACACCCACCGGAGGGGCTGCGGGGGCCCCGCGAGCGCGGACACGGGGAGCTGGTTCCGGGTCGCGTCTGGCGGGAGGTCGCGGGGAGGGGGCGCAGCCTCCGGGGGCGCCCCCGGGGACCTGTCCTCCCCGGCGCCCCGCCCCCAGTGCGGCCCGCAGGGAGGGGCCGGGCGGCCCGGGAGGCTCCGGGGACCCAGCACGGCCGCGGCCCCGCCTCCCCGTCCTGTGCCAGCAGGACTTGGAGCGAGGACGCCTAGGTCCTGGGTGCCCTCTGATGGGGGGTGGGGGGCACCTGGGGAGACAGCCTGAGCTGAGGAAACTGCTCCCTTCTGGCCTGGAAGGAACTAGGATGGTGGCACAAATGGAGAGCTGCTCCCCTTGGGATCAGTCAAGGAATTGAGGTCACACCAGTGGCCCCTCTATGTGAGCTGCATTTGGAGGTGGTGTAGGGACAGCTCTGTAGCTGAGCGTGGCAAGACTGGGGCGGGGGGGGGGGCGGGGGGGGGGGGGAGACACATCACACTCCTCCAGTGGAGCCCCCTGCATGACCACCCCCACCCCCACCCTAAATACAGACCAGGGGCTGACAGACTTGCACTTGGTGTGCTGGTTTGAAAGGTGATAGTGAGAACTTTATGGCAGGGGCTGCTGCCGCTTAGTTTGCATACCAAACAGATTTCCGTAGAAAGAAACTGGGAAGGCTCTCCAGGAAGGTCCCCCAGCAATGGGGGCTGGATTACTTGGCAATGTGGAGCTAGGCGGGGAGTTGGGGAACATAGGAAATGTTCTTGTCCATGTGATCTGAGGGAGGCTCAAGGAGAACCTCCATCTGTGTGGGCTTTTCCCTTCCTGACTTCTCTTTTCTGTTCCCTGGGGGGTCTTGAGAGCCTCAGAGCTGGGAAAGAGAGAAGGAAAGTTAGCAAGTTAACATTCTTTCTTAGCAACTTAGGGAGAGGCTGGGGGTGGGATGCCACAGAGAAGGAGAGGAAATAGAGGAGTTTTTCTTTTGTGTGTGGGCTGACTGAGGAAGATGGTAACATTTGTTCTCGTAACCTTTTACTCTCTCCCCCCCTCCCCCCCCAGCCCTGGGCAGCTGAGTGTGGAAAGACAGGGATTCCTGCAGCTGTTGTTCATGGGCTTCCAAGGTATCTGCCTCCCCCGGGGAACCTCAACTTTCACCTTTAAATTGGTTTTCTCCATTCTACGTGCCAAGCAATCCCATTCCCAGTGGTTTACGTCCAGGTTCCCAGGTTCCCGTCTTTGTTATGTGGGTTGTGGGGCTGGGCATGTGGGAATGGGGCAAGGGGTTTCTCACTTTCTCTCCTTTTCCTGCCCACCCACCAGGTCACACCACCTACAAGTAGGGAGCAGGGACAGAGAAAGAGCCTGCATGCCATTTCTAAGGTCTTCAGGATCAAAGTGAGCAAAAAGGAGGGTCAAAAACTCTCTCTCCCTTTTACAAAAGACAGTTTTCACTGGGGGGAGGGGTGGGCAGGGGCAGATTGTTTCTGTGATCTTGGGAGGAGTGGAAAGAGAACCAAGACTGATGCTTGGTTTAGATGAGAATAGTAATGTTGAATAGTAATGTTGCTCTTCAGTGGGTGCCGGGGATTTGAAAGGGAAGAGGAGACAGAAAATGAACTTGGGAGAGGAGTTAGTTAGGTGTTGGACTTGGAGAAAGCAGAGATGATACACAAGGTTGGGAAGGAACCTAAAGTAGGAGGCACTGATGTTTGTCAAATGGGGGACCCCCCCCCCACACCCTGAGTCCCTTTCACCCTGGGGGCAGTGTCGTTCGTCCTGTCCAGAATGGCAGCCTGTGGAGGCACCTGCAAGACCAAAGTCACTGTCTCCAAGCCTGTGTGGGACTTCCTGAGCAAGGAGACACCAGCCCGGCTGGCCCGGCTCCGGGAAGAGCACCGTGTGTCCATCCTCATCGATGGCGAGACTTCTGACATCTATGTCCTCCAGCTCTCCCCACAGGGCCCTCCCCCCGCCCCGCCCAACGGGCTCTACCTGGCCAGGAAGGCTCTCAAGGGGCTGCTCAAAGAGGCAGAGAAAGAGCTGAAGAAAGCTCAGAGGCAGGGGGAGCTGATGGGCTGCCTGGCTTTGGGGGGTGGGGGTGAACATCCTGAGCTGCACCGCCCAGGCCCACCCCCTCTCCGAGCAGCCCCACTCCTGCCTCCAGGGGCCCGGGGGCTTCCTCCTCCTCCTCCCCCCCTGCCTCCTCCTCTTCCTCCCCGCCTTCGGGAGGAGGCAGAAGAGCAGGAGAGTACCTGCCCCATCTGTCTGGGGGAGATCCAGAACGCCAAGACATTGGAGAAGTGTCGGCACTCTTTCTGTGAAGGCTGCATCACCCGCGCCCTGCAGGTGAAAAAGGCCTGTCCCATGTGTGGCCGCTTTTACGGGCAGCTGGTGGGCAACCAGCCCCAGAATGGACGGATGCTGGTCTCTAAGGACGCCACACTCCTGCTGCCCAGTTATGAGAAGTATGGCACCATCGTCATCCAGTATGTCTTCCCGCCCGGTGTCCAGGGGGTAAGGAGACTACCGCCTGCCTGTACCCTTTGTTTCCCTCTCTCCCCCAGCTTTCTCTGATCTAGGAAAGCTAGGGGAGGGGGAGTGTGTTTTTGAGATGTGATACAGTTTTGCTGTTTCTACCATATACCTTTTGCTATATGACTTCCCACTCCATGCCCTGGAGCTAGGAGGTCCCATGAGGCCCAGCTTTTCCAACCCCACAACCCCATAGCACACATGAAAACAGGATATCAGCCGAAACTGGTTTGGCTCAGTGGATAGAGCGTTGGTCTGCGGACTGAAAGGTCCCAGGTTTGATTCCGGTCAGGGGCATGTGCCTTGGTTGCAGGCACATCCCCCATGGGGTGTGTGCAAGAGGCAGCTGGTTGATGTTTCTCATTGATGTTTCTAGCTCTCTATCCCTCTCTCTTCCTCTCTGTAAAAACTCAATAAAATATATTTTTTAAAGAAAGAAAGAAAGAAAGAAAGAAAGAAAGAAAGAAAGAAAGAAAGAAAGGAAGAAAGAAAGAAAGAAAACCAGGTATCAGAGAAAGGAATTAAATACTATTTCCAATTCTGTAAAGATGATGGCTCAGGTGCAGGCAGGCACAGCAGGAAGGGATCTAACCTTTCTCTCAGAGCTGGGAGCGTTCCTCCATTCCAGACTTGGGAGGGAGGAAAACCTTGATGACCGGAGGTTAAAATAGGAGTGGTCAGGAGCCCACAGGTGACTTCCTGCTTGACAGAGTAATTCCCAGTTCTGCTTTGCAGAGGGATGAGGAAGCTCTGAAGAAGGATAGAAAAATGGGATAGGTCAGACCATGGAAAAAGCATTGAGAGTGTTTTCAGGTAGAGAAGGGGAGGCTGGAAGACAAATTAGCCTGTCTTCACATTTCTGCTGAGTTACCCGGAGAGTAAGGACCAGCTACCTTCCATCACTTCCGGGACTCCATTTGTTGCTGAATTGAGACTTGAAGGATTGAGACCAGGAGAAAAAGCCTCTTATCAATAAGGACTTTGTCCAGAAATAAGCTCCTGCTGCCCAGACCCTAGCGTCTCTCCTTGCCTGAAAGGCTGTCAGCCTGTCGTTGCCCTGTCAGCCTTACCTGGGTGTGCACAGACAAAAGGCTGGCCAGGAGGAACCTCCATTGGCATTTTGGTCTTAAGATGTCCAGCTATGCCCTCGCCGGCTTGGCTCAGTGGATAGAGTGTGACTCAAGGGTCCCAGGTTCGATACCAGCCAAGGGCACATGCCTGGGTTCCGGGCTCAATCCCCAGTGGGGACCGTGCAGGAGGCAGCCAATCAATGATTCTCTCTCATCATTAATGTTTCTCTCCTTCTCCCTTCCTCTCTGAAATCAATAAATATATATTTTTTAAAAAGATGTCCAGCTACTCACTGCTCACTTCGCTTCCCCCTCCTCCCAGGCTGAACACCCAAACCCAGGAGTTCGGTATCCTGGGACCACTCGGGTAGCCTACCTCCCGGACTGCCCTGAGGGTAACAAGGTGCTGACCCTGTTCCGAAAGGCGTTTGACCAGCGTCTCACCTTCACCATTGGCACGTCCATGACCACAGGGAGACCGAACGTCATCACCTGGAACGACATCCACCACAAGACCAGCTGCACAGGGGGACCCCAGCTGTGGGACACTTCTTCATTCCCCTTTACTTGGCTCCTCCCCTCTGTCCGTTTCCACTGAGAGAACAGCAATTCCCTCTCTCTGGGAGCCTCCTCATTGGAGTGGGCCAGCCCCAAACCACTCAAGCATCTCTTCCATCCCAGTTTCTCCTACATTTAACCTGGGCCTGATATGCCCAATTGAACCTGCAAAAATAAGCAGAATTGGGCTAATTTATCTCGGATTTGGGTAACATTAGGGGAGGGAACAGAGGGCCCACAATGGGGCACCCAGAACGAGTGTGAGCATGGGGAGAAGACTGAACAGCTGACCCTGACCCTCATTTTTCTTTGCTTTCAGGTTTGGGTACCCAGACCCCACCTACCTGACCCGGGTGCAAGAGGAGCTGAGAGCCAAGGGTATCACAGATGATTGAAGGACATCCCCCTGGCCAAGGCCCCTGCCTTTGTCCTCCACTAGCACCCAACAGAAGCCTCTGTTCTCTTTCCCTCTGCTCCCCCATTCCACGCAGTAGGGGACCTGTCTGACTGGGGAGGAGTTCCGAGAGGGATGGGGCAATCCCTTCCCCTGTCCCCACAGGCCAAGTGCTTCAGTGCAGTGTGAGCTGCTCCCTCCTGGCAGAGGCTGCTTCTCAGGCTCTGCTCCCCTCTGGTGTACATACTCCCAGTCTTCCTGCCCCCTCCATTGCCCTTGGCTTTTTCTGGTCTGTCTGTGCTCCAGTGACTAAGCTGAGAAAGGATGTGGGTGGGCAGGAAGGGGGTCTTGAACGCCCACTCCCACCCCATAGTGTTCCACTGCTGAACTTTAGTGCAGGGGAGGGGGAATCAGCTGGTGTGAGCCCCCACGGAGCGGCCCTGTATGTTCTTCCTAACCAGTTCCCCATCTACCTTAACCTTGTCCTTTCCTGTGTCTTTGTTTCTGTCAGTCTGTCTCCTGCTCTTCTCCGCCCCCTATAAGGAGCCTCCTTACCCCGTTCTGGAACTGCCGCCAAACTGTAGCTTTTAATTTAATAAAAATAAAGTAAAATATGCAACTCTATGCCACACCCGTTCTGTTCTGTGGACGGGTGGGGGTGGGATGGGGAGCGGACGCTGAGGAGAAGGGGATGGGGGTGGATGAGGAAATCCCTGAGGGCCTCAGAGCCTCCGCAGGCAGCCCCGGGGCCTGGGGAAACGGCATGTCCTTGGTGCGATCCACAATAACACTGCGCAGCCCCAGGTCACACTTCGACTTGGAGTCTGTATTGAGAAGGGGTTGTTGATGCACTGTGGCTGTAGGGAGGAACAACCCTACCCCTTCCAAAAAGTTTGGCTGGGGTGGGAGCGGGGGCGGAGCCGGGCAGGGGGCGGACTCGTCTGCAGCAACTCCCCGGACGCGCGCAGGCCTCAGAGCCCCCCAGCTTCCGTACCCCTCGGCCTGAGACTTGGAGCTGGGTAGGGGTCCAGCATGAAGCCCCCAGACCGCCCCGCCCCGGGCCGCACTGACCGGATACTGGGGGTCATGGGGGGCATGCTGCGCGCATGCGCCCTCCCCGGGCAGGAGGGGGTAAGAAAGGGCGAATGTGGTGGGGTTCGGCGGTCTTTCGGGGGCTTCAGGACGGCTGCACCCCACAACTCAATGTACCCGCAAAAGCAAGTTTTGCGGGCCCCCGCAGGAATCCAAGCGTCCCATTAAGAGGGCCATAGCCGAGCTCTGGGCGCACCGTTCCCTCTACCCCAGCCTGGCGACCCTTTCATAACAAAGTGGGACTTGACAGCAGGGAGAAGGGGAAGAGGAAGGGGGTGAAGGGCGGGTGCCTCACGGTCATTCTATCCCCGCAGCCTCCGAAGAGAAGCCCCCTGGGGCCGGAGGGGACCGAGCCAGAGCCTGCCGGTGCGGAGGGGGACCAGAGAGGGGAGCGCGAACCTGAGGTCCCCCCCTGGGCTCCGCTGCCCGGTAAGACGCTGGCGGTGGGGTGGGGCACAGTTGGCCATCCATCCTGCACAAAGTGGAACATTAAGGGGAAAAAATGCCGCCCTTATGAGCATGAAGGTTCGCAGCTAATTTGCCCGAGACCTCCGCGCTTCTTCTCGCCCTCCAGCCTGCTGCGTCCCCCGCTCCGCCGGCTGTCCCCGCGCCCCACCCCTGGCCCCCCGCCAGCCCGGCTCCGGGACTTCGCCTTAATTGGTGATTAGCTTCGGCTGCAGTCCCGGGCCGGGAGGGAAGAAGGGTCGGGTGAGAGGGCGGCACCTGGGCTGTGTTCCCCACAAAGAGCCCCCCATTCACGCACCCCCACCCGGGGGAGGGGTTGCCCACCTCTGCCCGGCGAGGGACAGCCCAGCTCCAGGCCGTCTCCGCACAGGCCCTGGCCGCGTCCCCCGGGCTTTCTCCCCCGCAGAGGCGGAGGGGCGATCCGCGCAGACCCCGCCGCGGGCTTCCCCCACCCCCCCATCCCAGCGCTCCGCGGCCTGAGCCGGAGGAGCTGGAGGGAGGGGAACCCCGGCTGGGGAGCCCGGGATGCGGAGGAGGGGCAGAGGCGCTGGGGACGTGGAGCGGGAACGTGGTGGTGCCGGGGGGAGGGGGGATCGGGGCGGGAACCCGACACTGGCTAAAGGGGGAACGCGGGGGAGAGGGCGGAGCTGGGGCGCCGAGGCCCCTCCCCGCGGCGACTCGGCGGCCGGGCCTGGTATTTGTCGCGCCGCTCGGCCGGGACCCGCGCAGCGCCGGGACTCGGGGAGTCGCCCCCCGCCCCTCCACCCCTGCCCGGGCCTAGAACCATCCATCCCCAGCCCGAGTGGCCGGAGACGGAGCAGAAGCGGCTGCCGCATCCCGGCCCAGCCTTTCCCACCATCCCTCCATCCCCGCTGGACCTCTGGACCCCGGGCCCCGCGCCGACCGGGCTCCGGAAGCCCTCCCCGCCCGGCTCCGCGGCCCGGCCCGCACCGCCCTCGCCGCGGAGCCCCCGGCCCTCCTCCAGACCAGACTTCCGCTCCCCCTGGACGCCCCCTCCCGGGCCCCTCCCTCCCCCCCTCGCCCGGCCTGGAGCGGGGGTAGGAGGGAGGGGGGGGTGCGCCCTGCTGCGGCCCTGCCCCGCCCCGCCCCGCCCCCCGTGATTCCCCCTGCATGGCCGGCCCGGGAGGGGGGAGCGGGGGGGCCCGGGCGCCATGCGGGAGGGCCACAAGGGGGGTCGCTGTGCCTGTCCCAATGTGATCCGAAAAGTGCTGGCAAAATGCGGCTGCTGCATCGCCCGGGGGGGACGTGGTGAGTGCGAGGTCTCCAGGGCTCAGCGTTGAATGGGGGGCGGGCTGAGGGGTCAGGACTTGTGTGCCCGGGCCCTAGGGATTTAGAAGCTGGAGAGACTACCTGTATTTTCCAGGAAATACTGAACAGATGATCTCTGAGATCCCCGTCTGCCTCCGATGTTCTAGTTGAGGAAATTGGGGAAGGGGCAGGACTATCCTATAGTCCGCTGGGGAGGAGAAACCCCCTCCACCATCCCCTTAGGCCTGGAACCGCATCTTCCCTCACATCCTGGTGCTGAGATCCTGCTTCAGCCCTGAAGAGGGACAGGGGGATGGAGGGATGAAGAATGAGAGGATCTTCCGGGGGCTTTCTCAAAAATCGCAGCTCCTCTTTCCCTGAGCGCGGCCAGAAATAACCCTGATAAGCTTTCCTAACTTGCCCCTTCCGTTGGGTTTGTGCGTGTTGGGGAGGTGGGCTGCAGACGTCTTTTTTTTTTTTATGATAGTGATCACGGACATTGGTGGAGGAGGGGAGGGGGGGTAGCAGATGTGCTCTTAGCTCTTCACACCCCCCTTCTCAGAGAATGGTTTGTACCCATTGGAAGGGGGAGGGTGGTAGGAGAGCAGATGGCCACCCCCAGCTTCCAGTGTGTCTGTCCAGATGGCTGCCCCAACCCCCATATCTGTGCCATGCTCAGGGTATCAGGGGAACCTCCACGTGTTATCAGGGGTTCCGGGCCTGGGGAGCCGGGCATTTACTGTCCTTTCAAAGGAGCCCTGGTGAGATGTTCTCTCCTGGCTAACTCCAATGAAGACTGTGAGAGAGAGCCCTGGGGAGAGAGAGGGGCTGAGCATCATAGAGGGGAGGCTCTGAGAGCTTCCTAGGGATCTATCACCCCTTTTCTCTCTCCCCACCCCATTAGAATCCTACTCCATTGCTGACAGTGAGGGGAGTATCTCGGCTTCAGCTGCCTCGGGTCTGGCTGTCCCCTCTGGCCCCAACTCCGGCCTCAGCTCTGAACCCTGTTCCCCGGGCCCCCCAGGGCCCATCAGTGGCCTGAGAAGATGGTTGGATCACTCCAAGCATTGTCTTAGTGTGGAAACGGAAGGAGATGGTGGCCAGGCTGGACCTTATGAGGTGAGCAGGGAACACCACAGGGGCATGTAGGACATCCATGCAGGACACTGGGAGAGAAGACAGGTTGGGGGCCATTGGTCCATGGGGAGACACAGCTACTGTCCCTGACCTCTGGCACTTGACCTTGGCCCCTAGAACTGGATGCTGGAACCAGCCCTAACCACAGGAGAGGAACTTCCAGAACTGACCCTGCTGACCACTCTGCTGGAGGGCCCCGGAGAAGAGACGAAGGTATGATGATGAAATGGGCCTGCGTGGCTCCCCTCACCCAAGAGGCATCCATTTGCTTCCTCTAGGATGTTCTTTTCTCTCAGCTACCTGAGGAGGAGAGTTTGTCCCAAGCCCCTGAGAGTGAAGAAGAACAGAAAAAGAAGGCTCTGGAACGGAGTATGTAAGTGTCCGCAGACTCTCCCTCCCTTCCTGCCACTGTACAGCGTCCAGAGGACTGAGAATTGGGATTTCCTCTGAGGTTGGCTGTGGAAATGAAGGGGCTTCTAGTCCAGGAGGGAGAAAGGGGCTAACCCAGGGATGTGCACTCCTTTCTTCCCAGGTATGTCCTCGGTGAACTGGTAGAGACAGAGAAAATGTACGTGGAGGACTTAGGGCAGATTGTGGAGGTAACTTCCTTTTCCCTTCCCAGCCCTGACCCAGCCCCTTCCCTCTGCCCAGGGCTGATTTTAAGAGATGCCTTGCCCAGCTGGCATAACATAGGGGTTGAGTGTCAGCCTATGAACCAGGTCATCGTTCGATTCCTGGTCAGGGCATATGCCCGGGGTTGTGGGCTCCATCTCCATTATGGGGCCTTGCAGGAGGCAGCTGATCAATGATTCTCTCTCATCATTGATGTTTTTATCTCTTTCTCTCCCTTTCCCTTTCTCTCTGAAATCAATTTTTAAAAAATATATATTTCATTGATTTTTTACAGAGAAGGGGAGAGAGGGATAGAGAGTTAGAAACATCAATGAGAGAGAATCATTGATCAGCTGCCTCTTGCACATCCCCCACTGGGGATGTGCCTGCAACCAAGGTACATGCCCTTGACCGGAATGGAACCCG